GTCAACACCCAAGTGTTGTTCCTCTCAAGGGAGCTCATCTCATCATCCATGGCTTGCTCCCACTTGACTGAATCCTCCACCTGTATGGCCTCATCAAAGGACTCTGGTTCTCCTTCATCAGTTAGCAACAGATAGTGTAATGAAGGTGAATACCTATCTGGTACCCTGCTAATCCTGGATGATCTCCTCAACACCTGCTCAGGTGTCACTTGCTCCACCTCAGGTTCTTCAGCTTCTGGTGTTGGTTGAGTTTCTGCTTCAACATTTATGGGGGTACTTTTCTCCAACTCAACCTCAACTCCCACTTGCTTCGTAGTCTCTGGAACCTTCTGCTCCCTGTCCTTATACAGGACAGACTCATCAAATGTCACGTCACAATGTCTTAGGATCTTTCTGTTCTTGTCATCCCAAAACCTGTAACCAAACAAATCAGAACCATAGCCTATGAAGTAACACTTCACAGCCTTGGCATCAAGCTTATCTCTCTTCTCTGGATCAACATGAACATATGCCGTGCAACCAAAAGTCCTCAAGTGTGAGTACTTGAGTTCTTTTCCGGTCCATACCTCCTCTGGAATCTTGAACCCCAAAGGAACTGATGGTCCCCTGTTGATCAAGTATGCAGCTGTGTTCACAGCATCAGCCCAAAATATTTTGGGCAGCCCACAATGTATCCTCATACTTCTTGCACGCTCATTCAATGCTCCTCTGTTATGGAATCCGGCTTCACCCCAGTCAAGGGTTCGTGAAGATCTTTCTGGTACAGATAGTCTTCGATCTGCATCTTCCAGAAACCGAAATCGGATCCATCAAACTTCTCGATTCCAACCTTCGAACTCTCCATCTTCAGTGATCGTGTTGATTCTCCTGAGCTCTGATACCAGTTGTTAGGATCGAATCAAGAACACTCACAGAAATCCGATGAAGAAAGAGAAGAAAAAAAACGAGAGAGTAAAAGTAGAGAGAAAGTGAAACACGTGAAATAACGTGGTAACACCCCGTGAGTAAACTTCCACGGTGGCTAGATGTGTTTATTGATGATTTCAGGCAGATACAATTACAGAGAATTTGTCTGTTGCCTCTCTTTAAAAAATTAGCTACAAAGGAGAATATATAGGCATTACAACCTCTACTTACTTAACCATTAAGAAAACTTAGTCATTAAGCAAACTTAGCCATTAAGGAAACTTAACCATTAAGAAAGCTTAGCCATTAAGTAAACTTAGCCATTAAGCAAACTTAACCATTAAGCAAACTTAATCATTAAGCATCAGGCTCCATAACCTAACAGAAACAATACAACAAACATGATTACATGATAAAGAAAATACAACAAAGGAAACTTTCCACTTCTTTCCTAGAAAACAAAACAAATGTTGTGCATGTGTTAATATCCCAAATGAGTTGAATTCAAGGCTAATGATCAGGGATTTGGCATGTATTTTGGGTGGCATTATGCATGATTTTCGTCCTTATAGTGGGAGAATAAAGGAAACAACATGGCTTGACTTTTAGTGAATAATAGGACAAGATATTACTATTCAATCAGAGACTTTTTGGGCAGGCACATGGATGAGGGATTAAGTTTTGTTTTGCATTATATTTTGATTGTGCCGAGGTTGATTTTGGATATTTGAGGGAGGGGTTGGAAGTGTGGGTTTATGGTGAGAGGAGGGGGCCGGAGGAGGTGAAGGAGATGAAGGGGTGGGGAGCAAAGGTGGATTTGAAGAGGAGATTCTCATTTGGGCAGCCTTTCCTTTCTTGATTTGGCTTTCAACTTTGAGAGCCAACTTTGTAAGTGTAGTTCCACAGTGTTAGCTATTTGGACATTCAATCAAAATAGATACCTCACAAAAGTTTGCGAGTCATCTTCTTGCAGATCACGCCTTAATATATATATATATATATATATATACACACACACACACACACACCAAATAAAAAATTGGTTGCTTTCCGAACATCAGCTGATTTATCCTATTATAAAAAAATAACATAACATTTTAAAGCTTTAAAACATTGAGTAAAAGCTAAATGAATGCAAAAAATAGTACAAAAGTAAAATATATGCAGGGAAACTAGGAAAGTAAAGGATACCGTCATAGCACAAGCAGCAAGTTTTAGAAAAAAAGTGCCTCAGGAAATTCTTTCATTGCTTTAAGCTGTTTGGATGACCAATCAAAAAGATCTTTACGCCCGTCCGCACAAATTTTAGCATCCGTCAACAAAGCCGTAATATATGGTACCTAGAAAAAACACCATTTGTCAAATTGGTGAAAAATTAATATCACAATAAAAGTACAGGAAATATTGGGAATAGTGCAATAACCATTTTATCTAGATGAACAGCAGCTACCCAAGCATCAAGTGTGTTCAAAGCACACTCTCTCATGTGTTTCTTATTGTCACCAAGACATTTTAATATATCTGAGAGAATGCCCTGAAAAAATAAAGAGATACGAATCAATATGTACTATATAGTATGTACAAATATACAAAGAAATGCAAGCGAAGCATCAACCTTGCATGACTTCTCAACTGCTGGCCCCATAGAAGATGCAACCACACCAACTGTAGATAGAGTTGACATGATAATATTCTTATTGCTGTCATACAATCGGCACCTAAGGGCACCAAACAGCTCTCCTGCAGGAAGGTGTGAACAGAGAGTGGAAAGTCAAGACACAAACAAAGTAAAAATGCAATTCTATGCTTGTAGTTATTTTTCAAACAATGAAAGTGCTCACACGTTCAAGCATAGTTTGCAAGGAGAAAGTTCGTGTGGGTGAGCACAGAGAGACAAAGAGTAATACCAGCGCCAGTAGGCTGAATGCGCTTTTGGCCTCTTCTAAAATTTTATTTACACCTTCAATCGATTCCAACCTAATCTGAAACAAGAAACAGTAGAGTAAAGCAAAATCCAGCTTTCTCAAGATCAATTCTACATAGGATAATGTACAGAACCTTCCAATCTGAGCTTTCTAAACCCTTAAGCAAAGCAGGTGTAATCTTTCCACTTATGTCATCACGTGGGAGACTATCTAACCCACCACCAGACACACATACAGAATCTGATGCCTTCACTGTTCTCTTCGGTACAGAGGATGTACCCTGCAAAAGAATGCATGTTAACTACAAGAAACAATACAAACAAGTAGATCAATGCTTAACTAAATCAAACCTCGAATGGGTTTTTTTCATATTCTGCATCAAGAGCACTTAGAAGAGCTGGCTTTAGATCTGATAAGAATCCCTTGATATCTGTCAAAAGGTAAGCCAAATTTTAGACATTGTGAGAAAGCACAGCCAAAACAAGTTATGCTCCAAGAATAGAAAAGTTACCCAGGCCAACAAATTTGTGTAGGACACCAATAAGTTTAATTGTCGCATTTCGTGTGGCAGCAGCATTGGAATGCAACCCAACATCCTTAAAAAAATCAATTACATCCTGTACAAAAACAGCATGCTTTATACAACATGAAATTATCTTCATCTTTGAGATAAAACTAGAGCACAATACTATGCCTTTATTAGGAATAATAATTACATTATTAGGGGAAATATTACCTTGAGTTTCAGATGTGAAACACCAAAATCCTCAATTGCTGTGACCATCCACAGCAAGCCTTCACTAAGAACTTTAGGATTTTTGTGCTCTTTCATGATCATAGTCAGCTAAAGAATATGTTCTTTTGGTTTGGAAAAATAGGGAAATTAGGTGTTAGAAAGAGCTAAATATAGTTGGAAAGAAATCAAAAAGATTGAAAGGAGTTCAAAATAAATATTACCCATCCCTAGTTTGGCTTTTTCAGGCTAGACGAACTTTGAGAGCAATTAAATAAAAATCTTATTGCATATTAATATGATGAAGCCACTCATGCACCGAGTTTTACACCATTGTAAGTCTCTTGCAAATACTGTCATTGTCATTGTTTTTGCATGATAGAGTCAAACTTTGTGGTACGAGTGGTGCTAGTGTAGCAGGACTCATTGGAGTAATGCACATAACAAACATGGTCAAGCAATCTAATATAAGGTGCTTGGGTGGATTACAATTTTATGGAACTAAATACTATGGCGATCTAAAATTTTATATTACCCTGCATGAACTATTTACTTTTTAACAAGAATTGTACCACTAATACTTTGCAACAAAAACCAACCCAGTAGAATACTACATATTGTATGGTTTGGGGAGGGTGTGTGTATGCGGTTCTTACCACTATTGTAAAGTAGAGCAACTTTGATAATGATAATAATAATAATATGTTTAATAGCGAAAAATTATATTTCATTTTTTTCTTTTGCAATGCTCACACTTAATTTTCCTTTAGTTGTCAAGTAATTCAAATTTATATGTTCTTCAATGAAAAAAGTTTAAATACAGAACTAAATTTATGATTGCATACACTCCCTCTGTCCCAAAATAAACTTCTCGCACTTTTTTTTGTTGTACCAAAATAAAGTCCCCTTTCCATTTGAAGAATGAAATGGGTGGTCCACAATAACTTTCTTTTACAACAATCTCGACTTAACAATTTTACTTTTTTTAAACTTTGTGAAAAGTCAAGTATGAACTTTAATTTGGGATAGGAGTTTATGATTAATAAGCGCATGCCAATTAATTTCATTGAATATTTGAATTATAGTCGAATGAAATAAAATGGAAAAAGTAAAATGGCTCTTAAACTGTGTGCGCTTCTTTTAAAAGTGAAATCTTCATATATACAATGGTAGGAGGCCAAAATGAACAGTGTTCCCACCTAAAGTTATTGGGCCAAGTATGGGCTAATTGGACTGGGTTATGTAATGGGCCTGATATCTGATATTGGACTGCAAATAGTTAGTTGGCTCCAGGCTGTTCTTGCATGCTAGCTTAAAAATAGGGCGGCTGATTTGTATAGATGGCTCCAGGCTGTTTTTACATACTAGCTTCAATATAGGGCGGCTGATTTGCATAGAACGGCGTACAACATGATGGAAAAAAAATTGGGGAGTGTGAGCACTACATTATTACGGCAGTAAAGCACCTTTTAGGAGCCCAATATCTTTATTGCCATTTAATGCTTTGGATTTGAAAAAATCTTATGGTACATGGGCATTAAATGCAAAAGATTCTTCCACAAATCCAAGAACATTATTTAACCGTAATTCAAGGGCCATAGTCTCCCTCATCCACAACACTTTCATACCAACAACTCTACCAAGATGTTCAAAAAGCCTATAAACGAAATGTGGTACATGCTTGACAAAATTGATAACAAAAAAAAGTCATGGATGCTTAAATTACGAGCGATCCGCGTTTATTATGTTCTAGCTTGGTCCATGGAAGTCATCTTCCACGACGAACGCGTAATTTCTTTGTATAGTTTCTTATTTATATTTTCATTCTTCGAAACTCATTACTAAATAATTTCTTTTTTTATGCAGGGAACGAGGATTCATGCTCATCTTAAGAGTCCCAAAAAGAAATGTTTTGAAAACCAAATTGTTGAAGATGGCGTCTTTGGAATCCGAAATGATTTTGTTCATGATAATTACCTTTTATGCAAAACAACTTCGCATAAATCTTTGTTGGTTTTTTATCCAAAGACAAGTCAAGATGCTTAGTGAAAAAGATTTTCCAAATTCAAGTTCGACTTGAAATCATTTTCGGACCTTCAATCTCAAAACTGATTTACTGTCATATAATGTCCTAAAACATGCATATTTGTTTTAAACCCATTATAATCTATCTCATTATTTTGAATTATTAAAACAATGTTAAAAGAATAACCGTATTATTGAGCATTGGATCTTATGTTAAAAGAATAACCTAATGATATTACGTAATGGTGAAAATGTTCAGTAATCACCTAGATTTCAAATCTAACATATATTTTCTGCTATAAACTATACCAAAAATAATTTTTTTAAAAAAAATTAAAATGCATGGTTGTTTAATAGAAAATTATTTCTATTTAAATATTTTGAACTTATGAATAATTATTAAAAATACTTGAAACATTCTCGAAATCATAGGATCTAAACACAACTTATGCATGGTTGATTTAGACTACATCTAATCTATTTCATTAATTTGAACTTATTAAAAAATTGACAATATTATTAAATTTATAGAAATTATTAGATCTACAAAAACTTTAATACTTCAATACCTTAATTCGATGGGAGTGTGAAGTAGTAAAAAAAGATCTATATGAAAAAATCAAATAAGATTACCAGCGATTTCACGGATGATGTTCCAGGGAAGATATACTCCATCGCTCTCTCTAACTCTCTTTATCTCTCAGTTTCTCTACATCTCTACTCTTGATTTGGATAAGTTTTTATCTCAACTATGCCCTGAAAACCACACGCTCTCTCTCTCGCTCTCTCTCGGTCTCGCTCGATCTCTCTGCATCCATCGCCGGCTATGGAATAGAGCATCAGTAGATTAGAGAGGGGATAAGGCAGAAGGGCTGAAAATATGTGGAAGTGGGAATACCACGGAGGATATCTCAAAAATGGATGGATTGGGCTGCGGGAATTGGTCTGCTCACTTTTCAAAAATATATTTCCTGCACTTGTTGTTGTTGTTGTTGTTGTTGTTGTTGTTGTTGTTGTTGTTGTTGTTGTTGTTGTTGTTGTTGTTGTTGTTGTTGTTGTTGTTGTTGTTGTTGTTGTATGGAGTAGGAGCTTGAGAGAGTGGAGTTTAAATTCCAAATTAAAAGAATAGGGCCTGAGAATTATTTTGGATTAAAGAAACACTAACTTACCCTCTCAAAAATAAATCTTGGGCCAACAGCTTCACAGAAAGTAGTGAGGCATTTCATGGATTGAGCACGTGACTTGATGTCAGCAACTCTTTCAGAGATACCTGCAAGCAAAGAATGCAAAACCATGAGATAAGGAAACACAACAAATTGATATACCCAGGCTCGGCTCTGCTTGCCAAACACACCCTTAGGCCGAACCCATCCCCTCCTAGCCCACTATATTTATTAAATACTTCATCAACATAAGAATAGAAAGAGCATGACAAATACTCTTCAAAGTTTCCTAGTTTATTTTCATCAGTAATAGTAATGTTTCCCCCTTTACCCTATATATATTTCGGCCATATGGCCAATGTAAGGAACATGTTGAAATGAAGTTTAAATCAAGTTAATAATCTTTGAGTGTTTTCTCCGAAAAAGTGTGATGCTTGTTCAAATGAATTCCTAATTTGTATTTTAATAGTTTTCTTCAGTTGAGTGTTAAGTTCTGGTTATTTAATTAGGAGTGATTCTTAACTAAATTCTAGAGTTGACACTAAGCGAGATGTGAGTGCATGATATCTCGTATTCGAGCAATGATTATCTCTTACAAAAAAACAAAAAATACTAACTCTCTGCCTCGTTTCTCAACACCCCCTACCTTCTGGTATAACACGAAAGTAGAGCAGTTCAGTTAAAAAGGGACATAGCAAAGAGAAAAGGTTTTAAATTGACCTTGAAGGCAAAGTATAACACACTTTTTAGGGAACTTTGATGTTGTTGAAGATATATGAGAAATAACATCAATAATGTGCTGCTGGACCTGCGGTTTAAGCAGTAGCAGTGAAAGCATATGTATTAGACCACAACTAGAGAGCCAAAAGGTGCTACTTTGGTATGCAGAAACTTAGTCAGAATGGAGCCCAAAAATTTTTATATCTGCTTTGGTGTTTTCTATATCCTTTGTCTAGAAATAATGATTCCTTAAAGATTACCATAGAAACAATTATTCCTTGAAGAATGCCAACTAAATGTGCATCCTTCTTTCCTTTGCTACATACAGTACATAGAGGGATCACCACAACAACTATGAAATGGCTGTATTTATCATATTTTCAAAGGAATATTAATCAATATGTTGACATTCCAATGCACAATAGAGGCAAGTTTTTCACTGGAAAAGCTAGAAATGGTATACCTGCACATTCTTTTCATTCCATCCAGGGACAACAGATAAAAATCGAATCAAAATCTCTACTGATGGGTCAAGTTCTTGAAGTGCCATAACCTGCCCTTTAAACGACAGGATAGCTGCAAAGACGAGAAGTTGACAATACAGAAAAATATAAATTGAGAAAATGTAGTGCTGAGAGTTTAATTTTGGTGAGGCGCATAAGGCCGTAAGGGAACCTATTTTGTGACTAGGATGGAAAGATGACATAGAAAGGCTTGTACAACAACAAACAGAGTAAAATCCCACCAAAGTAGGGTCTGGGTGGGTGTGTGTATGCACACCTTTTCCCTACTCGAGTGTAGAGAGGTTGTTTCCAGGAAATGTGTTTATATCATTATATGTGAATATGTGATTATGACAGAAATTGGAATTATCTTACGACCTTCAACCCTCTCTTTCCATGATGCACTCTTCAACATGGAAATTGTGTCCGGCTGTATAAGGGAACCTATTCTGCTCTCGATTTGTTCGAGACTCATATCTTCTGGCTGTGGTAAAAAAGTTTAAATTAAGACAAATAGCAAAATTGTATTCTGTAGCACGAAAAGCATTTTTAAAATCAGAAACAGTTTGGTGCACATCAAGGTGTAAAAATAACAGTGAGAAACTAACGCAAGAAAACACAATTTTCTTGCCTCTACATCTTCAACATCCACAGACTTGGACAGTTTCAACTGCCCGCCTCCGTTCCCTTTTTTGGCAGCTCCAGGTTTTGCAGGCACTACTTTCTTAATGATGGGCTAAAATAAAAAAAAATAGATTTTACTAGCCCAAAGCTATTTTCCACTAGATTTGAAACAAATAAAAAAACAAAATTATCCGCTAAAAGAAAGTAAAACTTACAGCAGCCTGAACAGCTTTTTTCCCATTAAGCATACTAGTAGCTGACCTCCTAACAAATGATCCATCTGCTGCCTACAAATACAAACAGAGACATTGGTGATTGGCTCTGGCCTGAAAAGCCCAGATTTTAAACCAGCTGATTAAGTTGTGCCCAACAACCTATCAGCCTGTCACAAGTTAAAAGAGCCGTCTAGATACTAAGTCATCAAATTGTATTGAAGGATAGAACTAAATTTCAGAAAAAAAGAAGTGACAAACATCCACATGACTTAAATTATTACTGTTCATCCATTCTCCACATGTTGAAAAAATAAAATGATTTGTTGTGTACTTATATCCCAGAAAAGGATTGACGTTTCTCAAGACACTCTTAACAATATACTCCATACGATTCTCATGTTAAAAAGATAGAACATGTTAAAACTAACAGAATGGACAACACATTAGGCAAAAAAAATATTTACCGTGGAGGAAGGTACAATTGCTCCAGAGGATGGCACTGCAACTGCATTAATCATTTGATTAGGTATGTGAGGTATAATTAAAGAGAAGATGCGTCTTTGCAAGAAACAAGAACTCAAATAGTTTTATCTTGTTGAAAATAAGATTAATTTAAAGCCAGAGCTACCATCAGATTCACTAGCCCCAGCAATCATTTCAGAAAGCTTCTTCCTTCTGACATCATCGAGTTTTTCAATTGATTTTTCTAAAGGTCGCATGCCAACCAACTACAAAATAAATCAGGTAAAAAGCACAATCTCACTGCATTGTGGAAGTAAAAAGATGGATAAATTACGAACAGTAAGTCGGTAACAAACTCTTCTCAGAATAATATACCTTAGCGATAGCTGACAAAGCTGAAAATGCAGCATCTCTAACCTCTGGTGTTCCATCACTCAGGCACTGCATGAGCAAAATTTCATAATTATAACAAAAATAGATGCCATTAACAAATAATTCACTCATTACATATATGGAGTATAAACAAAGAAAAACTAAATTCTTTATTTTTAATCGGGTGCATTGCAGTCTCTAAATGAAATAGTGAAGGACTGTTTCAAATTTTAGTCAACAGCATTAGAATTAAACAGTTTATGTGCTGTGCATAAAAGTAAAGCTTTGCGCCATTTGGCCCTTGTTAAGGACCTTTTTAATATACAAATTATAAGATAAAATGGATTAAAGAAGTGCATTGGATGGTGTGCAGAAATGAAAGTGGACAAATACAGGGGGACGGAGGTAGTATATGACTCAACAAAAAAAGGTTTAAAAAAACATCTCTGGAACACAAAAAGAATGCAAGGATAACAGACTTGGGAGTGAAATAGAATTAGACCATATTAATAGCACTTAAAAAATTTTAAAGCAAAATATAAGAAGGTAAGAATGAAAGACAATAACTTAAGGTGACAGAAGAAGGGTACAAATTACAATAAACCAAAGAATAAACTTAGCCTAAACTCATGCAAATTAAAGGTAAAGGAAACATGATCAGCGCTCCTTTGAAATGAAAAATGCAGTGGAGGCATAAAACTACACATCCAAACATGCATTTTGATATATGATTAATTAAATTTAAAATTAAAATTCCAATACTTGCCAGTAAAACAGGTAGTAGGAGCCGTGATCTTCCTGAAAAATGGGCTCTTAGTCCCCTAGCAAGATTCCCAATTGCTTGTATGGCTTCAACAGCTACAGCAATGTTCACATCAGTGATGACCTACAATGTAATGAATCAGCAACAATGCAACGAATAGAAACAAAAATGTAAATTATACAAGTAAAATAAGCACGGTGTTGCGCCAAAAACAATTCAAGCGCTTATTTGGAATTGTTCAGATGAGAAATGAACAATAAATTAACATGCCTTCTTCAATGTGTGGCAAATTTCAGAAAAATCTCCAGGTGCTATTCTCTTTGTCGATGCAAGCTTTGTTAACTCTGCAACAGCATCCTTTTGTTCTGACCACTTTGCAGCTTTCTGAAATAAAAAACAAGTAAAATAAAGGAGGAATACAAGACAAAAAAAAAGAATGATTTAGTTGACCAAGTAACAGACATTCATCAGTTGCTCAAAAGAACAAAAAAATGCAATAGTGAACAAACCACTCCATCCCAAATACCACACTTTCCAAGAGGAGTTAAAATATCAACAGGATCAACAAGTTCATATTCATCTATTTCCTGTGGGCTGACAGAAAATAGAAGAATTCGGGTCAGTAAAATATAATATCACACACCATGTTTCCTATAATAGCTTTAAGAACCATTTCTCTACTTTGGAGTTTGGACCAACCCACAATAACTGAGATCAATATTGATTTCAACAAAATAGAGATAAATGTTCAAAGTAGTTACATACTGTCAGCAGCAGATTCTTCAGAAGGGCCAGAGCAAGCTGTCGTGGGCATAGCATCCTGTTCTAGCACCTTGTCTTGGGCAGATCTGGCAAAGATTAACCAGAACTTTTAGAGGTTTAGGCATTTCAAATCTCTGCAGGAGAAAAAGTTCAAGAAACAGACTGCACCTTATTTTGCGAGTTGGCTTTGCAGTCCCGGTAACGTTAACAAGCTCAGCCTCAAGTTCTTTTTTCTTATAATTAAAAAAAAGAACAATAAGAATCTGCCTAACATGAACAGATAAGCAGCAAAATTAGGATTGAGGTATATAGCATACCATTGTATCACGCATTTTTTCAAAAAGTATAGATTTCACTGGATCCTTCCCAACCCATCGACATAGTTCCAATGTTAGGCCCTTAGAACAAGCTCGGACATTCTGATCCTGATGGTCAAATAATTCAGGAAGCATCTTCAAAATTCTTTTTGGTGGGATAACCTTTGAGCCACATTCTCTGCTCATTGATGGGGAAGAGTCATTAAAACTCAAATCATCAAATAAATATTTAAAAAACAGGTAAGACAGAGGACCAGATTCCGGTGAACCTTAAGGCCTGAAACATGACATCTACCGCAGGTACAACAGCTTTTGCAACTTTATTTTTAATTGCTTTCTCCATAGCATCCTACAATGTGTCAGATTGATGTGTAACATAAACCATTACTATTCCACAATAGAGTAACTCACTGTCCCTTAAATGAGACATTCCTCACTTGACATATTTCAAGTTGCTAAATGTTAAATCTTCAACAAACTTTATAGTTGCAAGCTACTCTTACACAACAACCTAGCATAATCCCAACTCTGTAGGGTCAAGGTAGTGAAACAGACAAATTGATTCCTAGAGTCGTGCAAATTCCAAAAGATTGTTAAAAAGAATAACAATTTTAGCAAGATCATGGCAGACATGGTTCAGTATCATTGAATGAATAGGATCAGTCCAGTTCAAGCAATATCAAAGATATAAAGAGTCCAATTCTTACCACTTCGAACGCACAAATTTTATGAGTAACATGTCGTCTACAGTCTACTACTTGCACTACAGCCTGAAAAATCATACACCTGTCTATGCCTAAAAACCTCCAAAAATACTCCCTAGTTCTCTTCCTTAACCGCCCTCTAGGGCGTTGACAACGTGAAAAAATGCTCTAGATGGTCTCTGATTCTTTATTCAATAAATTCAGATGCAATTATATCTTTTTCTCTCCAATTATTCTTCTATTTATTCAGGTTCTCCCATTCTTCTCAATATTCCGGACTTCCACCTGACTTGCAATCAATGATTGATGTATCAACAAAAGATGTGTGGGTGTCTGTGTGTATTTAAGTATATAAATACATATGTAAGTAGGAACTTATGATTTGAGCTATGACCCTACGATTAACGATCATTTATTTCTACTCCCATCCTACATATAATTTCGAGTTTGAATACCTTGCATAAGGGTCTTGGGTTCAGATGTACGCCTGAGGTCAGGATATTCTTAGTTCTTACAATACATAAAAAATGATTTTGGGACAATGTGAAAAGCCAATTTATCACTATAGTGGAGCAAACCCAATTATTGGTCTTACTAATTTAATTCTTCACCAAAATCAAATTTCATTGTCAAACTTAGTGGGGGAAATTAAAGGGGCATGGGATTAAGAATTGTTGTTTCAACAAGAAGATTTGGAATCCACTTGATCTTTTCTCTTCAAAGTTTAAACATATGCAATCACTTCATTCCATGCAACTTATACACAATGAGAACTGTAGGTGGAAAACCACGGTTTTTGCTTCAAATTACCAGGAATGATTCCACGGCCTCTAACTCCACCCACAGCAAAAATATTGTTTGTGCCTTCTCTACGGTCTTCGGCCTCCCCGTCAGGCACTTGGCCACAATTGCGTCGCACACTTCTTTCGCATACATGTCAACCCAAGAACATTTCAATATCATTTCCATTGCCACTTAAGTTATCCCTGTAACATTGATAAATACATTCATCAATAACCTTCCGGCATCGGCATCAGCTGCTTTTAAATAAGAAACTAGCGCATCAAGTGCCTTCTCTTGAACAGGTGCATTTGAATCAGACACCGTCTTCTTAAACAAATGTCCTACAATTGAAACGGTCGGACATTTTTTGAAAACTAAGATCAAACGAACAGCAAACGCAACCACATTGCACGCAATAATTGGAAGATACACAACTCCGGGGTAAAAGGAAAAAAAGATCTAAGGGAATTGCAACCCTAAACTCACCAATTTCACGGAAACGGTGGTCCTTAGGATCGGCGATTGAATCAAACACCGCAGCCAGGTCGGCGTTGGAGTCAATCCGCACCTTCCAATTCTTGTGCAGCAACCGCTCATCCCACGGAAGCTTCTTCGCCTCCTTCAACAGCTTGTTATCCTCCCACATGGCAAAAATCTACAGATCCGAGTTGTATATCGTCTAAAGCACCTGCGGGTTGCCCTTACGCGTCTCGAAGAGAAGAGGGACGGAAATGGCGAATCTCAGGTTTCAAAATCTATGCGTTGAGGGAAAGGGATGGGGTTTCTTCGCTCTTTTTCCGGGCGTTGTGGCATGCGTTCATTGAAGTTAAGACGAGTAAAAGATTGAATTTATTGCACTTGCACCATCCGGTCGGTTTTCTAAATGTTGACAGGTGCCTTTCAAAACCTACGCCAATCGGTCCAATCCCCACTCTTTTTAAAAAATCTTTAAACCTCTTTAGCCGACACAAATCATTCTTTTCTTAAAAGCAGGTGAATTATGTCCGTGCTTTTTCTCGCCCAAACGCTATCGTTTATGGACTATTGATTTTGATCTATATTTTTAATCTACGGTAATTATAATTAAGCAACATGCAAATATGGCTTTATTTCATTCTATAAAAGGAAATACCTTATAGATTCATGTGTAATTTAATGCGGTGTATTTAAATAATATGATTTTATAAAAGGAAAGCATGTAAAAAATAAGAGAGAAAATATTTTTGTATATTGAATTGGTTTGTGAAACTGATTCTAAATACAAAGATCTAATCCTCTTTATATAGGAAGAGCGTAAAGTAAACAAGAAAATTTCTATTCCTACAAAAATAAGAATTAAACAAACTAGAAAATATACTAAATACTAAACCTAATCCAACTAGAAAAGTTACTAAACCTAATCCCAAAGGGAATCAGTTTCCTTCTTCGATCCCGCTTTATTCTTCTGTCTCTAACACTTTTCTTCTTTAATCTTGCTTCCTTCTTGTTTCTCTAACAAATCACTGTGTGTATATAATGATTCAGTTTTAACTATTTAAAAAAAGAAATTAACTTTATAAAACATGTACATACTTAATGCCCGAAAATTGAAGGAGATTTTTTATGAATGAAAAAACATATTTAACATATTAAGAAAAGAAAGAATTACCAAAAAAAGAAATCATAGACTTTTGGAAGTTATTAGCATGTTAAACAAAAAGACCCATTCTCAAATCATTTTTTATTTGTCTGATATGTCGAGTAGACCTGGCAAACCGGTCGGTTAAGTTGGATTCGAGTTTGGTCACCTTGGGTTCGAGTTACTTCGGGTTCGGATAAGTTCGGGTTCAGGTTGATAATTACATGTTCATGACCCAGTTTCATGGGGTTCAGGTTGACCCAACGGGTTATGAGTTTTATTAATTTTTTTTAAAAAATTTTAAATAATTTCTATGACTAAGTGTCAATATTACGAATAAAAAAATTAAATATGTAGAAATTTTGAAAAAATGTAAGATAATTATGCGACATCATTAAAATTTATTATTATGGTATAAATCTATACACAAAAAATGAGTAGTAAGTAAAGAAGTATAATTATAATCTTATTTTTATAACACTATATTTCATATTAAAAAGTATGATTTTAAAAAAATCTTAGATTAGCGGGTCGGTCTGGTCGGGTTCGGGTTCGGTCGGGTTTGACCCATTTTTAGCAGGTCATTTTTTGCCAGGTTTAATGTCGATTATTGGGCGATGTTAAAAATATTAACTTCTTGAAACTTTTTTTCTTTATTATACGGGTAACTAATTTTTTTAGTGTGGCGGAAAATAAAAAAATATTGCAAGAATTTAAAAACCGTGAGTATTTTTGTGCTTAATAATGAAAGTTTTAAAATTTTAATCTTATGTATTTTGTTTGCACCATGTTAATTGTCTACGCATTAAAGTTATTAATAGTATTCAAGGTTATGAAATTGACGTTTCAAGAAAAATAAATCTAACCTCCTTTGATTTTTAATAAAAAAAATAATATCAAAATTCAATCATTCATTCTTTTTAATTCTTTTTTTAAAACACTCGCCATTTTTATATCTTAAAATGTATTTAAGAAGTCACTTGGGCGGGAAGGGTATATGTTTCCCCTTCTTTTCAGAATAGGAAAATGTGGTGGAGATAGTTTATGTATTACACAATTGAAGAACATTATAGTATTTCATTATATGGTGTAGTTATTTACTTTTTTAATAATACCAATATTAATTTATGACGTTCATACGAACCGTGCAACGCACGGGGTGTTATACTAGTCTTTTTTAATTTAACCGGACTAAACTCTTAGGTTGGATTATTTTTGTCATTTTTTAAGTTATAATCAGATTGAATCTAATTTGATCTGATTGAATTTAATCTAAAATAATAATAACGATAATAATAGTAATTATAATCAACATCATAATACTAATAGTAACAATAGTAATAATATTAATATTTATAATAATAATAGTAATAGTAATAATGATTATAATCATAATAATAATAATAATAGTAATTATAATAATGATAGTAATACTAATATTAATATTAATAGTAATAATAATAAGAACAATAGTAAAAATAATTGTAATCATAATATTAATAATAGTAAGAGCAATCATAATAATAATAAATTAATAATAATAATATTATTATAAATTCGGTTTAAGTCTAATCTGATTAGACCTAGATATAGTCTAATCTTATCTGATTGGATCTGATCGATGTAAACGGATCATTTTAATAAGAATAAGTAATAAATAGAAAAAATAGGCTGAACGGAACGCAATCTTATCAGATATTACACGGACTATGTGCTATTACACAGACTCCACCCAAATTTGACTTCTTGCGGCGTTCGCGCTCTCCCTTGACAAAGGTCCCGTTTGGCATCAACGTTAGAGGTTACCGTTAACGTTTTGAAAATGCTATCCGACAGTAACCTTAAACATTAGCGTTTTCAAAATTAATCTACAACATTAAAAAATTATCTAAAATGTTAAATCTAATCGAAAACGTTGTTCTCAAACAAGACCAAAGTTATGTTTTCTCAATTTCTCTTATCTTATATTTTCTTTTTTTCTTTCTATTTTATTTCTTCATACTTAATTTATTTCTATTGCATTGTGCTTTAATGCACAAGTTGAACTTAATTTGTGTTCATCGCAGGCCGCAGCCCAATTTTTTTATAGTAACATTAGGGTTTTTTAATTAGGGTGATTTGATTTCTTTTTTTCTATTAAATTGTACTTTAATCCATAAATTGGGTTTAATTTGTGTTCATCGCATCCCTTTTTACATAGTAACATTAAGGTTTTTAATTAGAGTGTTTTGATTTCAAGATTTATTTGATAACTTTTTTCTTAGATTATTATTTTTGTTTATGTTGATGTGTGATTTTGTATGTAATATTTTATGGGGGGTGTTGAGATTCAAGACTTTGGTCTTTTCAATGAAGACAATGAAAGTGATGGGGATGAAATGGGGGTTGAAGAAGTTGGTGAGAGTAATGAAGATAATAGATATGATGTTCGTTTTGATCAAGTTCTTGAAGCAAAGGGACTTGTAGATACCCTTAAATTTTTCTTTGAAGGTGTTAAGGATATCTTGAGGAATATATTTTCGTTGAAGTGCCAACTAAAAAGAGTAATAAGGCTAAATTAGTGGAAATGAAGATGAAAGAATATCAATTGTTGCATCCGTTACAATAAAAAGAAACATGTCACCCAGAAAAATGCCACATTGAATGATTCTTGGTTTTCTGATGAAGAACGCGAGGACTTGGATAACTTGGAAGAACGAAATGCTCCTGACTACAGGCCTGATGCAGAGATGGAAAATCTTATATTAGACCCCAAGTTGAAGTTCAAAAACATTTGTGCATGGAACTCATCCTTTTATTAATTTTTACGGTGCCTTCAGATAATAGTGGGGGAATGACTCCTGAATAAACTTCCATGTAACAGCTTTTGCAAAGCCACGGAATGACGTCTTAATGTTACCAAGAATGTGATATATACAATGTCCATGTATAACGTTTGGGAGAATAGACTCCACAGCACTTATAATGCCACCATGGCGGTCAGACACAACCTCCCTCACTTTCTCTCGTGGCCTCTTCTTAAAGTAGGAGAAAGGAATGAGGTAGTGGAAGACAAGGGATAATGCCTGAATCCAACCAAATATATCCTTGGGCCCTTGTCAATATTTATATATCTCATCAAGTTATCTTCTTCGTCTTCATATTTTTAGCTCCGACTTGAATAAAATAAATGACTTATACTTTGAGCCGGATTGAACTGGGTTTACTTTTACTCTTCAAATAATATTGAATTGAATTAAATCTCTAATCCATCAGTCATAATGTCGTGGTAATGCATATAAATATTTATACTTATTCATTTGTATAAAGGAGTTTACCAAATAGAACATCATACTTTTATCTTGAGACACACGCAATATTGTCTAGAATCTAGACCGAAATATTCATCCACATTACTTGTTTATTCAACTTTATAAGATTTGTAAACTAAAAAGTTTCATCAATGTTTGTAAATGTTTTACTATACTTTATTGGGGTTTACTAATGATACTTTATAAGATATTTGAATTTTTGGGGTTTACATATTATAAATTTTTAGTTTGTACTTGTTAAAAGTATAAACAAAGGCATTTTGAACCGTTTGGAATTGTCTCGGTCCAAGATGTAATGAGACAAAATAAGACATTGTAGTGTCACAAACTATTCAGTCTTTTTTTTATACATTAGGTCTAGAACCAAGAAAACTAGAAACCTATTCCCTCCGTCCCATTTTAAAACGCATGTTTCGGTTTACGATATTTAACTGAAATTATTTTTAAATCATTTTATATGACAAATTGTATATAGTTAAAAAATAAAAATTACATATTAAAATACTACATCAAAAGATCTATACAACTACTAGTGAGAATAGTACTTTATTTTATCAAATTGCTAACAAAAATAGTGAAAGAAAGTGAATAAAATTTGACCCTGTGAATAATGAACATGCATTATAATTTGGGACGGAGGGCGTATTTTATTTCAACTTGTGTCCCACCCCTAATATACCCCAATTTAGTTGTTTTCAACAATTCCGAAACAAGTAATGATAGATTCACAAACAGAGTGCTCACAAACTTTACAAACTTACTATATATGATTTAAATTTTTATTTTCAAATAGTAAATTTATGGCCATTATGTATGTCAACCGAACATTTCCCTTCCCTGGGTGGGAACCGAATTGGCTAGAAGTCTAAAAATTTAACCTTTAGGCCCTGTTTGGTATATGAAATTTAAACTATGGAATTGGAATTGAGGACTTCAATTCTAATTCTGGTGTTTAGTAGCACAGAAATTATGTGGATTTGGAATTGATAGTGCAAAAATAGAAGTGGAATGAGTGAATTCAATTCTATGGAATTGAATTTTATGAAATTTCAATTTCAATTCAATTCCATCAATTCCGTATACCAAACGAACCCTTAGGGGATTGGCGGAATTCAACGAGATATCACCTAACCAATCCAGGACTAAAATGAACTAGACAAAACAGTTCAAGCTATTCAAATACTCCGTAATTCATTTATTTTCTAGACCTGAAGCCTCATATGTCAAATAAGATACTACCTCCGTTCTAGAGTATTTGTCCACTTTCATTTTTACACACCATCCAATGCACTTCTTTAATCCATTTTATCTTGTAATTTGTATATTAAAAAATTATAGAAATTATATATTAATAATCTATATGTTAAGACAAATCAAACAAGATCACACATGACTATATTTAGGCTTACACATTGAGAGAATTTGATGAGTCAAAGTGCTTAGATGAACATTTTAAAAGTCAAAACTGGACGAATACTCTGGGACGGAGGGAATATATACTTCGCCAAACTTCGCGGTCAGTCAAATAACCCTCTANCAGTTCAAGCTATTCAAATACTCCGTAATTCATTTATTTTCTAGACCTGAAGCCTCATATGTCAAATAAGATACTACCTCCGTTCTAGAGTATTTGTCCACTTTCATTTTTACACACCATCCAATGCACTTCTTTAATCCATTTTATCTTGTAATTTGTATATTAAAAAATTATAGAAATTATATATTAATAATCTATATGTTAAGACAAATCAAACAAGATCACACATGACTATATTTAGGCTTACACATTGAGAGAATTTGATGAGTCAAAGTGCTTAGATGAACATTTTAAAAGTCAAAACTGGACGAATACTCTGGGACGGAGGGAATATATACTTCGCCAAACTTCGCGGTCAGTCAAATAACCCTCTAGGCTATTTGAGCAAGTCATTGCTAGTCTGTATTTCAATATCACGTTAACCTCTATTTACTTGTGTTTTTATTGATTCTCTGACAAAATAAAATTTCCGATTCACTTTTTCTCTATAGTTTTTTGGCATAATTTTTAACAGAGTAATAAATACTACCTCCGTCTCTGAATTTTTGTCCAAATTTATATTTTTTCTATCAACCATTTTCAACCATAGATCTATAACTAAATAAAATATATATTATATTAATTAGATAAAATAATATTTTAAAGATATTTTGTATAATAAATCTAATAAAGCTATTTTTGGATCAATATATTGAATATTTAATTTGAGGTCAACACCAATTTTGATCGAAACAAATAGACAAATACGCAAGGACGAAGGAGTAAGTTTATTTTTTTTACTCCGTATTTTTAAAGCAATTTTTAAATAACATAAATTTAAAAAGCTCGACGTTTTACCATACGGGAGAAACAAACTATTGGTGATAAGAGCAGTCATGTTTGTCGGCACACAAGTATTTCCTTTTCCTTTTGGAAAAAGTTGAAATGGTGTCCGCACCCACCCTTTCCAATCACATTCTTGATATGAAAATGTCATTTTACAAAAGTTAAAAGAGAGGGTGAGACAGATAACTCATTTTATACTATTAAACGTTGAGATATCTTGTACCAGTTGATTGTTGTGTGAGGTGAGGTGGTAGTAGGTTCCTTGATTACTTACCAAATGCTACAGAATTTACAGCAACATCCTAACCGTCAAAGTCATATAGGCCTACTGGTTTGTGGTGGCCAAAGAAATCAGACCCGCTTTCAATATCATCGGCTATGAGGCCTCCTGATTGGGCCATTAATATTCTGTACACTCTCTTTGAGCAAATCTCTCCTAATCTTCTGTTGTCCCCAAGCAAACCTTCTATTCTAAGATCCGATAGCAGAAACTCCTTTTCATGTACCTGAAAATCATTCGTGGCAGCAAACAATCACTGCCTTATTGCACAAGGCCAGTTCTGCAGCCCATCCCTTCATTTTTTTTTTTTAAAAAGGAAGAAAACACACACACACACACACACACACACACACTTTGACACTTACAGATATATTTGGGTCCATGTATGCTATCAAGAGAGATTTCATTGTTGGGTACTTCTTCCCTATAGCGATGGCAAATCGTGGTTGTACCTTAGGAATCGCCAGCAGTGCTTTCAACCTGCATGAACAGAGCAAAATCACAGCAAGTTATATGGATCGGTAAGCTGTCACTGTCTAAACTTTGGTTATCCATTTAACAATATGATTATAAAGAAATGACTGTATTCAGATGCAATGATGGCAGACGTTGACAAATGAACAAAAAAACATGCGGAGTATTTATTTGCTAGCTCGTATGGGATGACATCTTTTGATAATCTGAAATCCAATGTAGTTTACTTGAGATTTTGATGCCTACTATGTTGAAAATACTAACCATGTGCTTTTCTTTATCAGATCCTTGTCAGCACAATCCTTGGGAACAAGGGATCCATTTGCATTTATTGATAATCGAGATAACTTCTTCCTGAAATGAAATGATGAATTTTAGAAGTAAATTCGATATCTCCCCTAAAAAACTGATTAAGATCACTGAAGTTCAGACCAGAGGGGGAAAAATAGAAACTTTATTATCTTCCTATTTCTTTCCACACGAACAAGGAATACATATAAGAAGGCAATTGAGCACAATTAGCGAGATCCGAAGCATATTCAAGACTTTGAAAGGTTCCTAAAATGTAACTGAAACAAGGTACCTATATTGGCATATTGCAAGATTACATGTTAATCCCAGAACATGTTCTGCTACCTCAGCTTCATCGATGCACTGTCTAGAATGCACCCCCACAAACTGAGTGGCTAATTTAGCCAACACCTGCAATGAAAAGCTTGACACTTTAGAAGTTTATTGGAACATCAGTATAGCCGCAAGAAAAAATATATATTTCTGACATATGTGCGAACCAATGGCTTTCCTAACCTCCTCAATTGGCGGGCGCTTCCAACAAGAACTATTGGCGGGGTCCTTGTACTGGCATTGTTCCCTAATATTTAAGTAAGTAAATAACCAACATGTTTTTCTAGTGCTCATTAAGTTAATATATTTAAGAAGAAAAGGAAATCTGCAGAACAGGTTGATGGCATAAACACCAAATGTTTTTCTTTAATCCATAGAGAAGGATATATCTCTACTGATAAAGGCAGGAAACGTCAAGCGTGCATCCAGATCTCAAAAGAGTAGACAAACAATGGTAAGCGCCATGGTTTGCTGCATGTAAGAATAGGTAGACCAAAACAAAACACTCTTTTAAACTAAATAGGAAAACCCTTGGTAAAAAGACAAAGACATTGTGGTCAAATAGCATTACTGTGACCATAATCGCAGAATTCGCTCCCTAGGCCGGGACTTCCGTATTGGTACGAATCATACCAATCGCAATTCGATGGCGATCCGATCGTAGCCGCTACGGCGTACCCTTTGACGTGGTACAACGTACCAGATCGAGCTGGTACGGCGACCCTAGCCTCTTGGTACGGCACACCAAGTCGGAAATAATGGAGTACCAATCGCCGGCGGTACAACGACCAGTTCAATTGGCGACTTCTCCTCTTCCAATTGGCGATTTTCTCTTTCCCAGACCAGACTTGACGTATATTGAGTACTTCCCACTTCCAAAGCACGTATATTCCACTTTCTAACGTCTTATTAAAAAAACTCATTTAATATTTAATTCAAATTCAGTTTACAATTAAATACTCCGTATTATACTAGTATGTATGTGTGTGTGTGTGTGTATATATATATATATATATATATATATATATATATATATGGCGGCTGTTTCTCTCTCTAGCTTTCCGGCGACCGGCACACCGCCGGCGGCCATCTCCAGCCATCATAATATTAGTGGAAAAACCCTTTTCTCTGATCTGTTCAAAGGGGAGAGAGTTAAGACCCCAGGGAAACTATGCGGCATGTACCATACAGCCCCCTCAGTGCAATTCACGGTGGAAGAAGAAGAGAATCTTGCCGGAAATTTCAGCAGAGCAGTAATTGGAAGGTGTAGCTCAAAAATCTACATACGTGACGTTGAAGATTTCCTAATAAACGGGGGTTTTAAGGAATTCAAGCTAAGGAGGCTGAAAACTCAAGAGATACTCTTCATATTCAAGAGGGAAGAAGACTATCTTCGTTGGTTTCACAGGAGAAGCTGGAAGATAAAATCATCAACTATCACGCTATGCAAATGGACTCCCAATCACTCTCATAGCTCGGACTGTCCAGTTATCCCATTATGGGTAGAGGTAAGAAATATTCCTTTACATCTTTCAGATCACAAACCTCTCTTCTCTATAGCCTCAGCCCTGGGTAAACCAATTAAGTTGGGAGCTAAAACTGCCATGGGTATTTACCCGGGCACAGCCAAGGTCTGTGTGGAGATGGATGTCTCACTTTCCAAACCCCCTAAGATCCATGTCAGACTTGGCTCTAAAGATTTGTGGCTCCCTTGCTCGTATGAAGAACACCCCCCCTACTGCTCCCAGTGTAATAGATTTGGTCATCTCCTTTCCCATTGCCGGAGGAAAGGTCCGGTGGTAGTGGTGGGCCATCGAGGAGCGGGGAGTTCAATTCCACAGATTCAAGAATAAAAAATGGTCACCAGGAAACGTCCAAAACCGGCCTCGCTGTGTCTCCAAAGCCCCCTCCCTGCAGTAAGCTCCCTGCCCAACATTCCATTATTATTTCTCACCAACAGCTACATTCCAAGAACCCTGGTACCCCTGGGACTTCCACTTCCTCTTTGGCAGCTTGTCCCCAACCTTTTACCCAGCCTTGTATGCCCCTACTCCCTCCCATTGTGGAAGACACCTCAGATGATGAATCACCTCTCCCCAAGTGCCGGGCCCTACCACCTTCACCCTTGCAAACCCAAACCTCCCCTTTGCCACCCCCTCCCTTCCCCCCAGATCTCTCTTTCCTTTATCCTTATAATCTTAACTCCTGCCAAGAGATAATTCCCTACGTCCCTCCTCTTTCCAACCAGCCCCTTTCAGGGAGCCAAGATGACTCTTTCTTACCCTCTATTTCTGATCCTTCTTGGGAGCCTGAGGACTTTGACAATGAGGATCATGAAACCATCACACCTTTGTGCTACCACTCCGAGGGAGATCAACCCACTCCTCAGCAATCCCCTATTGCTCCTTTGGAGATGGACTTATCCCGGTGCGCCAAAGTCTCAATGCCTTTACAGAAATCAGGGTTTGTTAAACCCTCACCTGGTCTCACTGGCTATGCAACCAGGAGCAAAACTAGGAAGGTTGTACCCCCCAACCATCCCTTATGAAGCTCATTTTTTGGAATGCCTGTGGGGTTAGTTCCTCCCTCAGCAGGCTCATATTCCTCAAGAGGAAACATAATCTTCAGTTCCTTTGTGTCATTGAACCCATTACCTCCAACAGCCAACTTGACAGTTTCAGACTACATCTTGGCTTTTCAAATGCTATTTGCTCCTCTAATAATAAGAGATGGATTTTCTGGAGCAATGAACACCTTATCCTTACCTCTTACCATGATGAAAACCAAATCACTCACTGCCATTTCACCCACACAGCCACCAACTCACCTATCATTATATCCTCAGTTTATGGTGCCCACTCTATAGCTGACAGGAGAGAACTATGGAGCAATCTTCAAAATTACAGCAAGCTCAACCACCAATGGATTATTGGGGGAGACTTCAACACCATTGCATCCCTTACTGAATTCAAAGGAAAATGCATCTCAAGCACTCAAGGTATGAAAGATTTTTCAGAATGCATCTCAAACTGTAACTTGATCACTCTGGAACCAAAAGGTGGTTTGTTCACTTGGTCTGGGACTAGAAGCCAAGGAAGGACCTGGAGGAGACTAGACAGAATCCTAACTAATCTTTGTCTTCTAGCTTATTATGATGAAGTCTCCTTAAAGCACCTGTCCAAATTCAACTCAGATCATAAACCCCTTTTGGTACACTGTAGTAAGACCACTCCTACTGGACCAAGGCCTTTTAGATTCCTTAATGCCTGGACCCTGCACGACACCTTCCATTCCATGGTTCAAAAGACTTGGGATAATCTGCCCACCATAGGAGGAATGAGAGGTTTGGCTAATAAACTCTCTAGCCTCAAAGCAGCCCTCAAAACCTGGAACAAGGAAACTTTTGGAGACATTTTCTCCCAACTTCAACAAGCAGAAGATAAAGCCTTGGAAGCGGAAAAGGAATTTGAGATTAATCCTTCACAAGAAAATAGAGAAATAATGCAGAAAGCCAATGCAGCCTTGATTTATTCCACAAATCTGGAGGTCCAATATTGGAAGCAGAAGGCAAACATCAGATGGCTGGAAAAGGGAGACTCCAACTCCAACTTCTTTCAGGCATGTGTTAAAGGAAAGAGAAAGAAACTCTCTATATCTCATATTATTAAACCAAATGGAGCAGGCACTAGCAACCCCTCAGAGATCAAGACAGAAGCCATCTCCTTCTTTGAAAACAGCTTCAAGCAGTCCCAACCACCCTCCTTTGAACCAATCCTTCCTCTCATCCCCATGATCATATCCTCAGAAGATAACCTCAGAATCTGTACCATCCCCTCCCTAGATGAAGTTAAACAGGCTGTTTGGGATTTAGATGGCAATAGTGCAAGTGGACCTGATGGATTCAATGGAAACTTCTTCAAAGCAACCTGGGAAACTATCAAACAGGATGTTCTCACTGCCTCACAAGAATTCTTCTTGGGGCAACCTATTCCAAGAGCCTATGGAAGCACCTTTTTGACCCTCATCCCTAAAACGGACAACCCTAAGAGATTTGAAGATTATAGGCCAATTTCTCTCTCCACTTTCATGAGCAAAATAAATACCAAACTGCTTGCAAACAGACTCAACACAATTCTACCCAAACTTATCTCTAAGGAACAAGCAGTTTTTCAAAAAGGTAAATCCATAGATGACCATGTCCTCATGGCACAAGAGGCTGTCCATCTACTTGACAAAAAGGTGTTTGGGGGTAATCTTATTCTAAAGCTTGACATGGCAAAAGCTTTTGATAAACTTGACTGGGGCTATCTTGAAGCTTTACTTAAAGCTTTTGGTTTCAACAATCTCTCAACAGCTCTTCTAATGGCTAATCTTAAAGGGTCCTTTTTCAGCATTCTTCTCAATGGTGAACCTACGGGATACTTCAAAATGGAGAGGGGGGTCAAACAAGGAGACCCCCTCTCCTCTCTTTTATTCATCCTTGCAGCAGAGGGATTCAGCAGACTCATAAATCAGCAAATGGACTCATCACATCTCCTCAGATTTAACTCAGGACAGGTCAAATTCCCTTCCCACCTTATTTATGCAGATGATATTATGATTTTTTCCAGGGGTGACTCAAGAAACCTCCTCAAACTCAAATTCACACTTGACACATACCTCAAGGCATCAGGACAGGAGATCAACCTAAATAAAAGTAAATTCTACACCTCCAAAAAGACAACCACCTTACAGATTCAACATATGGAGAAGGCTATTGGAATCAGTAGAGGCAAACTCCCTTTCACCTACCTGGGAGCACCTATTTGTCATGGGATTCTGAGAAAAGAACACTGCAAGGACATCCTGGGACATTTTGAGAAACGCATCCACTCCTGGTATAGCAAAACCTTGAACCAAATGGGCAGACTTATCCTTATCAAGCATGTGCTTTCTTCAATCCCATTACACATTCTTGCTGTGCACACCCTTCCTAAATCTATCATCCATACCCTTACCAAGTACATGGCTAATTTCCTCTGGGGACAAAAGGAGGGTGCACAAAAATATCACTGGATAAGGTGGAGCGAACTTACAAAACCTGAGAAAGAGGGGGGTCTTGGAATCAAAAGCTTAGAAGACCAACATCAAGTGTGTACACTCTCAAGCTCTGGTGGAAGGCAAAAACTGATGTGGGCATATGGGACCATTCGTGAGAGCAAAATATATGAAAACAGGAAACATAAAGGAGAAGATCACTGACTCTCCCACCTGGAAGAGAATTTGCAGATCAAATGCACTAGCAGACTCCCATACCACTGCCGTAGGTGATGATATGCTTTGGAATGGAGGTACTTTAAATCTCAAAGAAGCCTACAAGGTAGTACATGATAGTGGACCAAACCTACTCTCTTGCAAATACATTTGGCACAGCTCAAACATACCAAAAGTCAGGATTTTCTTGTGGAAACTACTCAATGATGGACTCCCTTTCCCACAAAACCTATGTAGGTTCGCATGCCATCTCCCATGCCGTTGCCTTTTTTGCCACAACAACAATGATGACATCGATCATAGCTTACTACAATGTCCAACAGCATCACATGTATGGAACAAGCTTGCAATAATGGCCAATGGACCTAGGGTGAAGAAGGACACCACACTGCGCCAACATCTCCTTGCATGGTGGTTCGGAAGCAACACCAAACACTTCAAAGGAACCCTTCGTCTCATCTTACCAGGACTTTGCACCTGGTCCTTTTGGAAGGCACGTAACTCCAGCATCCACAACGCATCGAACCCAACGGCAGAGGGAATTTTTCAAGCATGCCTCAAATCCCTACAAGCGTGGGCATGGATAAATAGAAACAAAAAATGGATGGTCCAGGATGAAGATTTCAAGGGCTTGGGGATCGATTCATTTTGGCGCAATGGTCGTAGAGTTTTATTCAAATGTGTAGCTTGACATATTTTCTTTATCCCGTCCATGCCCCCGTGTATCACCTCTCTTTCCTCTTCAATAAAATTTTCTTATATATATATATATATATATATATATATATATATATATATATATATATATATATATATATATATATATATATATATACACTCCCTCCGTCCAAGATTAAAGTTCTCACTTTGACTTGGCACGGAGTTTAATAAAATATGAAATTCCCTTTGACTTTCCTAAATTACCCTTCATCCCTATCCCTTCTCCTCTTTTCTTGTCCACCCATTCAATCGGATGTCCCCCAACAAGGCCGAACTTCCTTGCCGCTCACAAATGGCCGTCACCTATTCCGATCCAATCGGTGCCTCACTGCTCGCCATCCTACTCCTTCAATCGGCGCCTGTACTCCGCCACCACCTCCGATCTGAATCAAAATTCTCAAATTTGATGGAGATGAACAAGAAAAAAGAAAAGAAAAAAGAAGAGTTGCAGATGGACTAGGTGTTGGACCATGGGAATTGAAGAAGAAGAAGAGATCGAATCGCCCTTTTACCTCCAACCGCCTCGCTGCCTCATCTTTACTCCACGATTCGCTGCTCTCAATTTCCAGGAAAAAATCAGCAGAGCAAAGGAGAAGAAAGAAGTAAAAGAAGAAGAAGAAGAAAGGAGAAGAAGATGATGATAAGAGAAGAGAGAAGAAGAAGAGAGATAAGAGAAGAGAGAAAAAAGTGACGGCTGGGAGAAGGGAAGGAAAAAGAAAAAGAAAGAATAGGGATTGGGTAGGGAGGGTAATTAAGACTTTTTGGTATAAAAAACTTACCAAAAATAGAAATGGGAAGATTATTTTTGGACGGACGAAAAAGGAAAGTGAGAACTTTATTTATGGACGGAGGGAGTATATATATGTATGTATGTATGTATGTATGTAGGTATGTAGGTATGTAGGTAGGTAGGTAGGTATGTATGTATGTATGTATGTATGTATGTATGTATGTATGTATGTATGTATGTATGTATGTATGTATGTATGTATGTATATATATATATTTGAATTTGACTACGGTGAGATGACATGCTTTGGTCAAATGACACAAAGCTCACCACTGCCCATTACAAAGCTCAACAAACTGTAAGGCAAAGCTCAACATATTTTTCCAACACTTTGAATTTTTTTTTGAAAAAATAAAACCAAAGGAAGGGGTGCTGACTAAATTTGACCATTGACTCCAGCATTGACAGCCGCCTGCCGCCACCGCCAGTCGCCGGTCTCCGCCGCCAGTCGCCGGTTGCCGATTGCCGCCGCCGCCATACTCCGGCCACCGGTCGCTGCCGTTGACCGGTGGTTGACCGGTGTTGCTATTTTACTTTTTAATTAATTTTTTAATTTTCAAAATTAAAAAAAGGTGAGTTTTGGGGTTCAAAGTGGTGAACTTTGCTTTATTTCCAGGTAAGCTTTGCATTGTCCATTGGTGAGCTTTGTAGTGTAGTGTGATGAGCTTTGCGTCATCTGACCAAAGCATGTCATCGCACCGTAAGGTGTCATCTCACTGGAGTCAATCCCTATATATATATATATATATATATATATATGTATGTATGTATGTATGTGTCTATATATATATATATATGAATATGTATCTGTGTGTGTGTGTATATGTATGTATATACATACATGTATATATATGTGTATATATATATGTATATATGTATATATATATATATATGTATATATGTATACATATATACATATGTATATATGTGTATATATATGTATATGTATATATGTGTATATATATGTATATGTATATATGTGTATATATATATATATACATACTCAGCACTGCGTTTGTATTGTCTCACACTCTCACCACTCACAACCCAACCTCTATTCCTCTCCATTCCATTTTCTCTCTTTTTTCAATGGCTTTTGGCAAAAATAATAAATCTCATAATGCTCAAGATGTTTTATTTATGTTTTGACTTTTGGTACACCGTACTGCTTCGTACCGAAATGAACTACCCCCCTTCGTACCGAATTTGTCACCTCTGGCGAATTTTGTACCCGTACCGCGTACCCGTACTGCAATTTAGGTGCCTATGATTGTGACTGTGACTCTCCCAACCCGGGGGGCATTGACTCTCCGTGACTGAGTAGGTTGAGAAAGAATGTATGGACAGACAAAGTATATTCTAATAGAGCCGATAGCACTCAAAAAAGGAAAATCCATTAACGAAGTACATTTATAACTTCAGACTTGGGAGCAGCAACCAGTAAGTATCACTCAACGTTTGTTAAACAATAAAACCCGATATGGAATACATAATGAGGCAGATGTACAAACTCAGAATATATTAGTAGTATTTAAATAAAATTATACGGAGTAATTAGTTAAAACTGATAGGGTAACAAGTACAAAAATACCTTTTATTAATGTAAGCCATAAGCTTGTTTGTGAGATAACAGATCTGATGCAATGGATAAAGGCTCCGGACATTGGAAGCATGATCCAGGAGATACCCATTCAAGACAAGGTTGCAGAATTCCTCAGCCTCATATAAAAGTAACACATATTTAATGTCGACAGGTTCAGAAGGAATCTGAAACATACAAAATAAGCCCTAAATTATTTCAAGATAATTTTAATGGGGAAGATTGATCGGCTACAAGAGCTCAGAAGAAATTAGAAGTAGTATTAAAATTTTGAGCCATCAGAGAATCCAGATTAATAATAAGCAACTAGTTTTGGGTTTCTAAACAGTTCAAATTTTAAAAAATAAACACACAAATTGGCAACGAATTATCACAAGCGTATGCAAATATGACCATGATCCCCGGTAACGCCCTACCACAAGAAGTTATTCGTGGGGTAAAAAAAGTCAAATTCTCAATGCAAACGTGGCCATGATCTCCCATAACAGCCCAACCACAATAAAGTATTTTTGCAATTTTTACTGATGCAGCACTAAATACCTCATTTTATCGCTTGAAAGTAATCTTATATATGGAGTAAGTGATATGAATCCTTCGGTTAAAAGTTCCCATAAATAATTGAATATAGAGATGGGATACTACTATGTCTTGATAGGCTCAACTCAAAGTCTCAAACTCAACTCTCATATAACTAGGGTAAGGCTTGAAACATATGCACAAGTCCCATATTGTACTCTAGCATAAACAAAATATGACCTTGTGGGGAAAAACTTATATCTTGTATAATCATTGAAAAGAGATCCTGACAACCAACAGAAATTGATCACGCCAACATAAATACAACTTTAGACCATCTAATAAAGAAACAAAGGTAATGCAATCTCATAGTACGGTCCGGGGAAGGTGTGTGTACCCAGACCTTATCCCTACACGAGGGCCGAGAGTAGAGAGGCTACTTCAAAGAGACCCCCGGCCCAACACAGCAGTAGCACATTGGACAAAGTAAGAGCACAGAGACAAGTACACACACTAACACTAACAACACGACCCAAAGCACATAGAGCATACATGTACAATGTTGTACCTGAGACCCGCGGTGGTCTAGGATATAAACTTAAGAAGAGGAAGAAGAAGAGAAGGAGGTAGAAATATAGGGGAGGCTGAATTCAGGAGGAAACAAAGGAGAGGGAAAGAAGCATTTATCAAGTGAATAATAAGAGGAATTACACATACTTATCTTCACTCGGGTTAAACTCTAGTATTTAAATAAGGAATCACTCAACTTATTTAATATATCTAGAACCTAAAACTCCCACTTAAGAGAGCCACTCTTAAGATATAGAATTAGGATTTTATATATAGAAGTTAGAGAGAGAATTGAGCAAGAAACTTATATTATCACAATATATTTTTCAAGCTGACTAATACAAAAAACCAGGGCTGAAATATATAGGCCATGGAATGGAGAAACAATACAACAAACATGATTACATGATAAAGAAAATACGACAAAGGAAACTTCCCGCTTCTTTCCTAGAAAACAAAACAAATGTTGTGCATGTGTTAATATCCCAAATGAGTTGAATTCAAGGCTAATGATCAGGGATTTCGCATGTATTTTGGGTGGCATTATGCATGATTTTCGTCCTTAGAGTGGGAGAATAAAGGAAACAACATGGCTTGACTTTTAGTGAATAATAGGACAAGATATTACTACCTCCGTCCCAGAGTATTTGTCCACTTTCATTTTTACACACCATCCAATACACTTCTTTAATCCACTTTATCTTGTAATTTGTATATTAAAAAATTATAGAAATTATATATTAATAATCTACTCCCTCCGTCCCGCTATATTCGTCCACTTTTGACTTTTGGAACTGTTTATCTAAGCACTTTGACTCATCAAATTCTCTCAATGTGTAAGCCTAAATATAGTCATGTGTGATCTTGTTTGATTTGTCTTAACATATAGATTATTAATATATAATTTCTATAATTTTTTAATATACAAATTACAAGATAAAATGGATTAAAGAAGTGTATTGGATGGTGTGCAAAAATGAAAGTGGACAAATACTCTGGGATGGAGGTAGTATATGTTAAGACAAATCAAACAAGATCACACATGACTATATTTAGGCTTACACATTGAGAGAATTTGATGATTCAAAGTGCTTAGATGAACAGCTCCAAAAGTCAAAACTGGACGAATACTCCGGGACGGAGGGAGTACTATTCAATCATAGACTTTTTGGGCAGGCACATGGATGAGGGATTAAGTTTTGTTTTGCATTGTAAAAGTCATTGATTTTGATGAATAATATCATGGGAATTTCGTCCGTATATAGTACGAATGGGATGTGGCCAAGTTTGTTCCTAAATGACAAAACATTTGTTGTTCAATCAAAGACCATATTACTGATTTCTAAGTTCAGAGACGTGTGCTAATCGATTATCACTTACTGATAGTGGACTAACAAGTTATGTCTTCCAAACCAAGAATGTTCAGAAATGCCCAATAGTCGATTAACACTTAGGAACAATCGATTAACAAGGGTTTGCACAAAACTGGGTATTTTTCAGAGGACCAAGATAATCGATTACTACTTTGATTGCTGGTTTTGCGAAGAGGAATCAGAGGGAATCAATAGTCAATTATCTATGTTGGATAATCGACTATCATGACTTTAAAAGAAAAACAAACTAAGGTTTTATTTTGCCTTTTGTTGTTCACCTTCAGCCTAGGCTTAGTAATGAACAGCAAAGACTTTATTTTGGACAGAAGAAATGATTTTGGATGTTGTGGGAGAGGGTTTGTGGGTTATGGTTTGGCTTAGGGGGGGTTTTGGGCAGCAAGGGTTATGGGTTGGGCTTTTTGATGGGAAAAAGGAATGAATTCAACCCAATAAGGATTATAACACTTAAGCATTAACCCCTGATTTTGCTTACCATTTTGTGATGCATGGTGGGGTATAACATACAAGCTATTGAAAAAACGTAAAAAGGCACCGGAAAAAACTACAAATAAAGTCCCAAAAGTATAATCAACTACTCTAATCTTATTTCTCCGGATTTTTTATTGGTGAGATCATGAAAACCTGAAATCGTAAATTATGTTTAATCACATCCTTCCAGAGTTCCAGCTCTTCCTAACCTACTCCCCTTCACAAGCCCACTACCGCAAGCCTCTCGCATTTCCTCACTCAAGCATCGGCTTCTCTTTATGTGCCCAAACCACCTCAGTCTAGCTTCACGCATTTTATCTTCCACATGTAGCACTCTAACTCTTCCCCATATAACCTCATTCTGGATCTTATCCCTCCTCATATGATCACACATCCACCTCAGCATCCTCGTCTCAGTCACTTGAAGCTGACAAATGTGACCTTTCCTCACCACCCAGCATATAACTTCGTATAACATTGCTGATCTTACCATTTTCTAGTAAAACTTCCATTTCATGTTTATCGATATCTTCTTATCGCAAAGGAAACCTGAAGTTAGCTTCTAGTGTCCAAGTGGCGCCGATACGATGACCAACATTCCCATGTATCTCCCCATTTGCCGAACCAAGATACCAAAACTTCTCTTTTAGGCACTGGGTATGAATTGATCCTTACTTCCACGGAAAGAACCTAGAAATACTGGTCTCAATGTAATGTTTATTAGCATATTATGTCCAAAATAAGAGAAAGTAGACATGTGCAAAAAGCTAACATTTCCTGCTTGCAGTGTCATGTGTAAAACTTTACAAAACAAGATGCAACTGCTCAATACGGAAGAGCTCAAAGTACCATTGACTCTGGAACAAATTATACCTGAGATAATTGTTCTGGAATGCCCATAGTCCATAGAATAGATTTTTCGATTGGATTTGATGTTATTCGGTAAGAAATGCCATTCTCTGCAAGTCTTGTTATTAAATGACCTGAAAAATGAAAGCAACCACAACTAGTGAGAGATCTAGTGGGTTATCCCGCCGAATCACATAAAGACACCATTGTGTTAAGCCCATTTATGTTGGATCTGTATTCTTTAGCATGAAATTCATAGTCTATAAATTTCTACACTTGAAACAATAAACTCATACGGAAAAAAAAAGCGTAGTTGCGAAATTCTGCACTAGGAGCATTTCTTGTCATAAACTCATAACCATCTTAGGAAAGAGTAATGAGAAGAATGAAATTTTGAAAATGTAATTACAGGTTGTTAGAATAGAATGGAAATTATTATGACATGATATAGTTGCTATAGTCATTGCCCAATGTCCCAAAATAAGATTGGTATTGTAAATAAATTCAATACAAACATCCATTTCTTGGTATAAAAAAACAAATCAAAATACAAACATCATGGAACCTGATCTTTCAAGAAGAAAAAGAGATTTGAGTACAAAATGAATGACCTCCTATTGGACCTAGTTCCACTATTCTGGTATCAATGAGCGCCACAATTGACTTCAGGGCAAATTTTCCCTTTTCCCACTTCTGCTTTTCTTTTTGCACCTTTTTCATCTCTGCAGCTTCAGCTTTCTGAGCGGCTTTCAGCATTTTCTCTTGCTACATCATGAACACAAATTAGGTCATAGGAAAATAAACTCTCTCGCTACTCCCTAGTAAAAGAGTATCCGGACAAAGACTTACTTCTTTCTGCAGTTTTTTTTCATCCTTTAAACGAAGCTGTTCGTCCTTCAAAATCTTTTTTCTCTCCCTTGCTTCATCTATTTTATTTCCCCTACCTGAGTTATCTCTGTTTTTACTCTTTGGTTTCAAAGCCTTTATAAATGGCTCCAATCCGTCAGTTTCTTCACAGAGACGTTGATCGCCCTGCATTTACATCACATCAATAATTCCAGTACAAGGTAATTAACATGTTAGATAAAAAATACTTCAGACAACAATTTAAATGGAACAATAAAATTTATCATTAGCCAAAAGTGCACAATTTATTACTAAAGTTAGTTTATGGAGAAGTCATGGTGTCCTCGGTCCTCGAATGTTTCCCCATGACCCTTGGCAGGTCTTGTCATCTGAATCTTTTTGCTTATTACTTAAATCATATTTTCAACAATAATATTATTAGTATTAGTTATTGTCACAAAATAATATTATTCTATTATTATTTTTCAGCTCTAAACTCTAATATCATAATTAATAATTAATATATGTAATAATTGTATATACGCCATAGTTATCATGGCGGCAAGGCAAGGCACCAGTGTACCGCGTGGACCCCTAGGCAACATAGCCAACAATAAGGAAACACATAATAAATGAGAATATTAGTACATTAGTAACACTAAAATAAATACTCCCTCCGTCCCGAAGTATTTGTCCAGTTTTGACTTTAGGAACTGTTCATCTAAGCACTTTGACTCATCAAATTCTCTCAATGTGTAAGCCTAAATATAGTCATGTGTGATCTTGTTTGATTTGTCTTAACATATAGATTATTAATATATAATTTCTATAATTTTTTAATATACAAATTACAAGATAAAATGGATTAAAGAAGGGTATTGGCTGGTGTGTAAAAGTGAAAATGGACAAATACTCTAGGCCGGAGGTAGTATATGGCATAATATACTGCAATTCATAAAATTCAAAGTTTAATATCCATATGGAAAAAAATATGTAACGAAGTTCAAAATAACTCCGAAACATAAGTTAAAATCAGAAATTCAGAATAGTACTTTTTAAAAAAATAAGGAAATAAATCAAAATAGGACCTAAAAACATCCAAAAATCGGGCCTTCCCGAAAAAGGCTTAATTACTCCCAAAAAATAAAAGATAGAGTTTTTTAAAAAAATTTAAACATTATTATTATTATTACTATTATTATTATTATTACTACTACTACTACTACTACTACTATAATAATTTTTACTATTGATATGATTATAAATATTATTACTATTATTATTATTATTATTTTGTCATGAAATTGAGATTCCATACAAACCCAACAGAGTACCCAAAAGATAAAACAACACAAATTAAAGAAGATAAAGAAAGGAATGAAAGGGAGTTGAAGGGAACAAAACTAAGAAAGAGAAGCTAACTAAGCACTACATCAGCAGCAACGGCCGCAGGCAGCGACAATGGCGATGGAGCAGATCTATCTCCTGTTGGCGGCGACGGCGGCAGATCTGTATTGCAATGGTGGCAATAAATTGATTTTTGAACCTGAAATCCGGCGGCCATAAGTTAGGGTTTTTCAAAATCAGATCCGGCGGCATGATATTACTCCCAAGCTCAAGTGCACTCAAAAAATATGTTTAAAACTATGTCATTAACATTTTCAAATATCCGAAAGGTTTAAAACTCAAGCGGAAAGGATTAAGCAAATTTTAGAAAAACCAGGTCAGTGATCTAGTAGCTGTTACAGTACGCCATACCGTCGTAACGGTACCAAGCTACTACCTGAATGGTACCATGATACTGCCAGGTACAGGTTCCGCCAGAATGGATTGGCCTGAGCCGGTACCCACCGAATGCCCAATTTGGTACCTAGCTACCGCCGTCCAGTACCTCAATACCGTTAGGCCGGTACCATGTACCATTACTTTTGGAGAAATTTTCAAAATACAGATTTCAAATCTAATCACCTTTAATTAGTCAAAATCAATCCTAACTAACCTCCAACGGCTAATTACTATTTTCCACTATAAATATGGCCTTAATCCTTCATATTTCGTCAAGTATCCAAGATCCAAACATCTTATTTTATATTTTAAGTGTGTTCTTGATCTTGTTCTTCAATCTTCATATTTTGGCTCGTTAGAGCCTTGATTTTAACAATCCTTGAGCTTGTGATTATACGCATATAACTATATACTCGCATATTCAATAGGTTGATCTTGTATTGTTTCCGAGAGTATACTCTCCGTTTTTCACCGGTCAAGGATTGATCTTTTTCTTTATCATAGGCCAAAAGGTGTTGAACATTTTTCTATGTTTTTAGACACATATTTCACTCATTGTAATGGTCAGGGATAGCTGCATAAATCCTTGTATAGACGGTACAGGATAGCCGAGAAATCCTTAGGTAAAGGTTCAAGGATAGCCTAGCATTCTAGCAAATCCTTGGGGGAAAGAGGTTGACGATAGCCTGCAAATCTTCGTTGTGAGCGGTTCAAAATATTGGCAAGGGTTGAATCCTATTGGCAAGGGTAGTTTCCCAAACTAGCGCGGTGCTTTGACGGAGTTCAAGAGATCAGGACTTAGTAGATTCGGAAATCCTTAAGGAGATTAGTTTTAAGGTACTGAAGTAGAGATCCTGAACCAGTCTAAAATTGGTTTCTTTACTTTACGCTTTTACTTCTGCGCTTTATTTATTGCTTCCGCATTTGTCAACACCAATTTTATTAAACTCCAAAAACTTTTTCAATGTCTTATTCACCCCTTCATCTAAGGCGTTGGCACATCGAATAACAAGTGGTATCGGAGCAGTTTCGTAGTCGAATGTGCTTAACCGCATCTACAACAAAGATCTACTTGTGCCCATTTTAAATTGAATTTTAAAATTTCAATATGTTTTACCTCTGATTTTTAAAATTTAAATTTTGAAAAATAGTCTGAATGAAATCTCTAAGCATTCACCGCACTCTGTTTTTCAACGTCCGAAATTATTCATATTGAAAAATGTGGATTGAATACTTTATACAATCCATTGATTTTGATTTGTGGTTGAACATACTTCACGGGTCAACATACATCAGTGGTGATTGTGCAAGATTATATTCGAAGGATAAAAGAAAATTATCCATAAATGCAAAAGCCATCAACATCCTTCATCACTCCCTTAGACCCGATGAATTCGCATGTGTATGCTCTTGCAAAACGGCCAAGAAGGTATGGGATTTGCTTCAAGCCACGCATAAAGGTGATACCACAACGAAGCAAACCATGTTATGTTGGCCCTAGGAAACTCGGAATATGAAAGCTTCAGAGTTGGCCAACACGAGTCAATCCAAGATGCCAATAGAAGTTTCAATGAGGTTGTGAACAAGTTGGGTAAGTTGGGTGAAGAATATTCTACAAGTAAGTGAATTAAATACAAAAATTTTACTTTATTTGCCCGAAGATGGGCAAAATAGCATTGTAGACTTATTACCCAAATATGCAACGGAAAGCACCGCCCACATTTGGTCTTCTTTATATTCTCACGAGCTTTTAATGAATAAGATGAAAGACGTATATGTGAGAGAAGATCCAAAATGAACCAATGCATTTAAGGCATCAAAGGATGAGTCTAGTGATGAGGGACTCAAGCGAGGAGTGAAGTGAAACGGATGAAACATCGAGTGACTCTAGCTACGAGTCAAGAGATGAAGACGGTGAATAGGAGGCGATGAAAATGAAGTATAAAGATTTTATCAAATGGAAGAAGTATGAACACTTCGAGAGGAAAGAAAAATTCATAAAGCATTCCAAACCGAAGAAAGAACAGCATAAGTCAAGGTAAGTTTTTTTATACTTAATGGGATAAGACTTTTTCTATTTTTAAATGTTTTTAAAATTAAAAACTTATCCCATATGTGCTCCAATTTGTTTTAGCATTAGTTTGCATGAATAAAGAACTTTTCAAAATTCATTTTTAAATCATCCCATTAAAAGTAATCCAAAAAACTCCCTGAAAAATAAGTTTTTAAAACTTGCATTAATTAAGGGCAATTTTTTGTTTTAGAGGGAGTTCTGTTGTAAATGCACTTTTTACCCAAAGATCTCCAAACTATCTTTTTTTTTTAAATTCACTTTGATAGGGGGAGGGATTCAAGAAGTCATACATGTTTAAATTCTTTTAAATGCCCTTGTGTAATTGTTTGCATCAAACTTAAATGTGTAAACACAAGAAAAGTTCAAAGTGAGTACTTTAAATATGCTACATCCCCCGTCCTATATTGATCTTCCCAGTGCAACTTACTGTTTGTGGGCAGCACATCTAGACCTTCATCGATCATCATCAATCATCATCGTCTTATATTGGTTGATTTTTTTTTCTCAGATCTTGTGAAGAAATGCAAAGGATAGGTGAAGAGATATGTCAATGGAGAGAGGAGAAATGATAAGGGAGATAGATCGAGATGAAAATGGATAGATCGGAGAAGAAATTAGAAGGGAGAGGATGAAGATGAGGGTGGCAATGGACTGATGGAGATATGAGAAAGAGTTTTGGTGGCTTAGTGGGATGGACTGATAAAGATGAGGATGGTGATGGATTGATGGAGATATGAGAAGGGCAATGGTGTCTTTTTGTAGGAGAATAGTAAATTTTTTAAGAAGTGGGAAGGTAGTTTTAGGACGGAGAAAAAAAGAAAGTGGGTAGATAGTTTTAGGACGGAGGGAGCAATTCTTAGGGGGAGGGAGCTTGCTAAATCTCGTGTTTTGATGTTAACAAACAATATATGAGCCGACGTTTGTTTAGTTGTTTCTACAATATCACGTGACATGGTTGTTGTTGATGTTATTATTATTTATACTCCCTCCGTCCATTTTTAATGTTCAGACTTTGACTTGGCACGGAGATTAAAGAATGTTAAATTTTACATTGACTTTCCAATTATGCCCTCCCCATTTTCTACCCCAACATCCTATCACCCATTCCCACACTCTCTAGGCCCCAACATCTCGTCGACAACCTAGCAGGAGTGTGCTGCCCAATTCTATCATTCCAAAATCAGGGAGAAATTCCGGCAACCTATTCCCATGAGTAGAAGAATCAAAGGAGATTGGAAGAAGACGAAGATGAAGAAAACTTGAAAAAGATCCTTCTTTATCCCTAAAATCCTTCACAGATTTGAATTAGATTTCTCAGATCTAAACCAAATCTAAAAGGAGAAGAAGATGAAAAAGAAAAAATCGGGTACCACATCCGAAGGAAAATCAAAAGGGAGAGAAAAAAAGAATGAAAGAAGAAGATGAAGAAGAAGAAATCGGGTACCAGAGAAGGAAAATCAGAAGGGAGAAAAAAATGAAAGAAGAAGATAAAGAAGAAAAAATCAAGTACCAGATCTGAAAATCAGAAGGGAGAGAAAAAAAGAATGAAAGAAGAAGAAGCTAGAAAGGAAAAGAACAGGGAAGAAAAGAAATGAGAGAAGAAGAAGAGAGAAAAAAGAAAGAAAAAGAGAGAAGTGGGTGAGGAATGATTGGCGAGAGGAAGAAGAAAAAGAAAGGAAAAAGGGTGGAAGGGTAGGGGTAATTAAGTCTTTTTAGTATAAAAAAGTTTCCAAAAAAGGAAATAGAAACTTTATTTGTGGACGTATAAAAAAGGAAAGTACGAACATTAAAAATGGACGGAGGGAGTAATTATTTTAAATTACAATAGTGGTAATAACACTTACTGCTATATTCTATCAAATATCATTCATATATTATACTCCCCCTGTCCTATATTTAACTTCTCGGTTTGACCGAAGATCATTTTTAAGGGAGTGTAAAAAATGCTTTGACTTTCCAGAAATGCCCTTCAACCTTTAAGCTAATGTCAATACCAAATTCGTTGTAGCTCTGCAAACCAGACCTTATTGCCTTATCTCTTCTCTTCCCAGTTGCCTTTTTCATTCAACACCTTCTCAAGTTCATGGAACACGGGTCAACCTTATTCATTGACTCAAATTCAAAGAAATGGTTTTAGCTTTTCGGTTTGGAGCATCGTTCCATCCCCTGATGACGGAAACAATTACAAAAGGGAAGCAAATTACCTTCAGTTCCAGAACGTATCAAAACAATTTCTCGCTGGTCGTGCTCCTCTTGGATCTGTGAAGATCAAGTTGGGATACGGGAAAATGGTGACCGCCATGGTGGGATACATCAAGATCTGTGTCCTCCTCACCAACGTAGGCCCCTTCACATCGGATATCAGTTTTGGGAATAATGGATATCAGGGAATGAAACGATCATTCTCTAAATTCAAACGAAGAGAATGAAATTAAAAAAATCAAGAACGAAGGGGGGGAGAGAGGACCTGGGATGCTAGAGTTTTTGAGATGGTGAAATGGGAGGAAAGATCAGATTTAGAATTCTTTAGGTTGAAGGGCAAATGTGTCATTGAAGAAGTGTAAAGTTACCTTTTTTAGAAAGTGAGAAGATAAATTTAGGAAAACCCGAAAAGGAAAGTGAGAAGTTAATTTTAGGACGGAGGAGTAATAATTATAATCATAATAATAATAATAAAAGTAGCAATTTATAGTAAATACTGATGTTATTATAACTTTCATTCCATTAATAATACAACGATAAGCCCACTATAATCCCAACTTCAATTGGATCTGGAGGGTTAAGATGTCACATTCCCACGATCTTAACCCCATAAAAATACCGAGGCTACCTTCTATTAGAACTTTGATCTATTGAACATTTACTTACTTCTCAAACTTAATATAAAGTAAGAAACATGGAAGTTTAATGTGTCATTTTGATTTAGTCATTATATTCCCGAAGCTAAAATATTTTAAAGAATACTCCATAATTCTTTTAGCTCCTTTAGAAGTGGATAGATTATTGTAATTATAAATATCATGATGCTTGAAGTAATAAATTCAAAATTATTTTGGGCTAAATATGTTTTAAGACCCTGTAAAATAGACAATTTACATTTAAACAAAAAACTTCTAAGGACCAAAAACAAAAATTGCCTATTTTACAGGGACTAAAACATTTTTAACCCTTATTAAAATTATGAAAATAGTTATAATTGTAATTATAATTACAATAATGATTTGTAATTATATTTACAATTATGATGGTGACATGAATTGTTATTATTATTATGGTATTGAGACTGTTATTTTCGTAGTGGTGAAGCATAATGTCATGCTTTGTTAGTAAAATACTATGTATGATTTAAATATTAACTAGATTTTGCCACTTGGCACTATCAAGAGTCAAAACCTCTCATTAGTTTTCGCATATTTTGTTATTTGTACAACTGATTTATAACTCTCTTATTATAGAGGAGATCATAAAATGTGAAGAATATAGAAAATACTATCATTATTACATCTCCTTACTCTGATATCTCACATTATTCTCTAAAATTATCCATCAGACACGAAACACCACATCCAGCATCAACAGCCTTAGTTTCTTGGTTTGGAAACAATGTCTATTAATTATGGAGTCAGGTTGTGTACATCTCAACCCCCTGACCCCAATGTAGTTGGTATTATCTTGGGTTTGTTGTTCTTCTCTCTTGTAATTCATTGCTTTGACATATACAGTTATGATGATTACTTAGGACAATATGACAACTATATCTTAATCAAATGCAAAGCAAATTACTGCAGACAAAAGTATATTGTCAAGAAAGTAAAAAAAATACTAAACAAACTATAAACATAAAAATTTTCAAGTACGATAGCATACCAAATGGGCATCACTTTGAAATGAAGTTGGCTTAGAATCCCTAGCTGATGCTTCCACAATATTGGTGTTACCTGTTTTACAAAGTTATACATTTAAAATAAAACGCCTGAAAGTAAATGATGAGTGCCATTTTTTATATGGCATCACATGCATCTCAACATGGAAGCTTACCAATTAAACAAGTAGAGTGACAAATTCTGGAGCTCACTTTTGTTCCACCTTCCATTTCAACAGTGAAACCAATCCTGTCATAACTCTTCTGGGATTCAAACTTACTAATATCATCAGATTCACTATCAGAATCCAAACAGATCAGTCCGTTAGTCCCTGACACGTAAAAACAAATACAAAATCAAATCAAAACAAGACAATTCAAGGCAAAAAAATTTCATAATTGGCCAGACACATATATCTAAATGAATTTGATTATTCCCTCTGTTCCATATTAGTGTTCATACAAACTGTTCACATGGTCAAAGTACATTTTATTTCCTTATATACTTCCATTCATTTGATAAAATAAAATAGTTAAATCACCTCTTATTTTGTAGAACTTTTATCTTTTGATGTAGTTTTCAAAATTATTATTTTTAATTTTATACTCCCTCCGTCCCGGAAGACACTTCCTCTTCCTTTTTTTATCCGTCCCTTAAAACTCTTCCTATTTCCTTGAAAAAGACTTATTTGCCCCTCCACCCAAACCCTACCCATTCAATAGCTGACAATCCACAGGAATCACTTCATCGATTCCCACACCTTCTTCGTCTCTCTCTAGATCTGAGTTTTCCTCTTCCTCCTCTCCAGATCTAAGTTCTTCTCTTGCTCTTCTCTAGATCTAAATCTAATCTTCTCTCTCGAAGAATAGATCTAAAGGTCCTGAAGTTCGGATCTTCTTCTCTGCCCTGATCCGATGTTATCTCGTGATCCTTCGATGCCCAGTTTTCAACTTTTGAGTGATAGTGATGATGGTGCACTTCCTATATATGGAGTCCCTCCTCCATCGAAGGCTGAGATTAAGAGGGCTGAGTTAAATCGTTGGGGATTGATGGAGGAGATACGGATTCCTCTGAAACACACCCAACTTGGAGCTTCCGCAAGAAATATCTAGGGGGTGGTTACTGTTCATGTGTTTATTTCTGATGCCTCTGTTAAAATTTTCCAAAAAATCTGTTTAAAAAAAAGATTCTATAAGGTCCCGTTTGGTACACGGAATTCAAACTATGGAATTGGAATTGAGGACTTCAATTCCAATTCTGGTGTTTGGTAACATAAAAATTATGTAGATTTGGAATTGATAGTGCAAAAAATGAATTGGAATTGGTGAATTCAATTTTATGGAATTGAATCCCATGGAATTTCAATTCCAATTCAATTCCAATTCCATCAATTCCGTATACCAAACGGACCCTAAGGCTTTTCTTTATAAAACAGATGCCACACTTCTTCTTAGCATAAGAAAACACATGCCACACTGCTTCTTAGCATAAGAAAACAGATGCTGTACTTCTTCTTAGCATAAGAAAACAGATGCTACACTTTTTCTTAGATAATACACCACATACTACACTTCTTTGTCCCAAAAGTTAGTCAACATCAGTTGGTAGTACATATACATCATGTTCTATGACCAATCTGTATGCCAGATTTTGATACTACACTGATTACATGCCTGCAAAAAAGGCATTACATGGGAGTACATTAAAGTATTGTACTTTTACCCATGATGTTTGTACATACAAAAAAGTAAGACTTCCAAGACTTGCTAGTCTACATGTGTTCTTCAAGGAATGTTTTTGCTTCCTAATCTTGACTTACCCCAACATTATCTGGTAGCCTTCCAAGTCTGGCAAAACTACTTTTCCCCATGTGTGGGATTTTGAAGTTGTTGCCCCCTTTCTGTTTCAGGACCTCCCCCATTACACTTTGACATGTCAAAAAAACATTGTTTAACTTCTCAGGGGTGAGGGCTGTAAAGGATGTGGTAACAGCAGTGATGAGGTCTATTAGTTTCCTAGGTGTTGCCTGGTCTTGAATTGTATCAATTGACCTAAAATATCCCAAATCCAAAACATTAAGGTCTGGGCTATTAGGAGGCTGGAATTGAAGCTTAATGTTCCAGTTTGTACAAACTCTGGGTCATTCACATCCACATGTGGTTTAGCATTATCTTGTTGTATTATTACATCTCTTGTTGGACCAGGCCATTTTTCTTTTATTGCTGGCAGCAACTTTTCCAGTAGCATCTTTTTCATTTCATCTCTATTTGTAGTGGTGGTTGCCTTGACCTCTAATGTACCTCCTGGCCTGTTTTTGCTAGACCTTTTGGCCTCAGCTTCATATGTGAATGGGAATATACCTATTTTCTCATCCTAGAGGACAGCCCCATCATTCCCAAACCTAGGCCTACCAACAGCTGCAGTTCTGTATGGGTCTGGTTCTTCTGGTAGTGCATAAAATGTTTTCTTTTCCTTTGTGATGTTAAACCATTTTTCATCAATATGAATGTAGTCATAGAAATGATGAAATGTGGGGTTTATGGGAATAGATGGGGCAGTAATATGATCCAATCAATATTTCAGTCTTTTGAGCTTACCTTTTTCACATAGAAAAGGCTTGATGGCATTAGAATGTCTTCTTATGCCCTTTAGCCACCTTTGAACTGTTGATTTTGAAACATCCATTGCATAGGCTAAGGCACGCATGTTCTTCCTTCTGTGAAAGGGTACTGCTAACATTTTTTGCGTGTCAACAGTCACCCTTTTCTTTCTAGAATTCCCTATCCACTTGCACTGAACAGGTAGACCTCCATGCATTTGAGTCTTAGCTATACTCCATATCTTTCCAACTGTTTTGCTTGAGATGTTGAACTCTGCATCAACCTCTTTCATGCAGCCCCGCTGAAGTTTGTCATTTTTACAAAATTGAACTAGCTTGTCAATTACTCATTTACGTTTACGATTACGTTCTTCACAACCTTTTTTTCCCAAACTACTCCTTTCTTCTTCTGTTGCAGGGCTGTCAAGACTGAGGAGGGGAACCTGGACTAAAGGTGGCAGGTTTGTACTGCATGAATTTGAAGAAAAGGAAGACAACGATGTGGTTGACAAAGATGGTGATGATGGCGGGGAGACCATTGATACGTACAGCAGAAAGAACAAAAGGGATATTTATGGACATGGTGAGAAGGAGGTCAGGAAGAAGCTGAAAAAGGACATCCTTTAGGTGGGTATTAAATGCAGAAAGAAGTTTCTATTTATAGATTTTGTTTAGGAAGTTGATATTGTAATTGGAGGGAAGTTTAAAATTTACCAAAATTTAATTTGGAACAAAAACTTCCCTCCAAATTTGGATTTTGGCATGTAATTGTACCAGTAATAGGATGGGGAATTATAAATCCCTGCTGTAGCCGAACTAAGCCACTGTGTGGCTGTGTACTTTTCCACCTTTTCATTTAATGCAATACTATTCACTTTTTCTCTTTACCCCTTTTTATTTAAGGGTTTGGGGGTGTTTTTGGAAGGTCAAAGGGACAAATACACTCCCTTAAATTTTAGTTTTAGTCAATAAGTCCCGTGTTTTACAGGACGGAGGGAGTATTTAAACGGAGGGAGTATTTAAACGGAGGGAGTATTTACAAGACCCTAGAAGAAAGTCATCCATTGTGTAATGAGAAGATGCAATTCAAAAAAAGCAAAGACGCATCCCTTTTCTAGTTGCATACTACTAAGGGAGTGGCAATGCTTAGGGCCATAGAAGAAGCATCCCTTTCTGGGAATCTACAGGGTGCGTTGTTGTTGTTGTATTGTATACATTTAAGGGAGAGGTGACCCTAAAGGTCTTGGAACAAGCAAATCACGTTTCTTTCTTGTTACTCATGTATAACAAAAAAATAACTTCACCAATAATGTCAAATAATGTAGAGTATAATTCTCTTGCACCTTGTTTTGTAAATTCAATTTAGAGGTCAGCCTCTTAATGGTTCAGATGTCTGAATGGTTCAGCACTTAATGATTCAGACTGTTTGTTTCAGCCTCTTAATGGTTCAGATGTCTGAATGGCTTAGACATTTGCCTCTGAATGGTTAAGTATTATACAGAGTCTGAATGGTTAAGACCTCCTGAATTGGTCAGACATTTGCCTCTGAATAATTAAGCAATATACTAGCTCTTAATGGTTCAAACCTCTTACTGGTTCAGCACTTAATGATTCAGACCTCTTACTGGTTCAGCACTTACCTATTCAGAAGTTGCCAAACAGCCCCTTAGCTTATATTTGATTGTTCTCACTCGTTAACTTTATTGAGTTTCATTTTGCGTCCTACCCCTTGTACTTTACCTTATTAATAAAATCTTGTTTTGTTAATTAATACATAAAAATTATTGAGTTCATCTTATCATTAATGTGTTCTATATCTCTTCTCCCAAATTAGGAATCCTTCATTCAATCACATTTTTTACGCAGAAAAATCAGAGGAAAAGATTGATAGTTTAATACTTAGGATGCCACAAGTCAACTCAGATCCTCTCGTGAGAGTATTAACACCAGTGAAAAAGAATGTCACGTCAAAATTTGAAGCACATAAATAGATGCATCTGTTAAAACATCGGGATATTGGAAACAAATATTTCAGTCATTAGGGTCCACTAGTATGTGACCATCCACTCACCTGAACTTTTATATATGTTTGTGACTGAAGAGGTTAGGTTTTGAGGACCCTCAACGCCCTTCGTGCATTTGGCTAGCCAAAAATTGAGTCTTGACTTATGTATGGGTGTCTCCTCAACGAAAGACGGTCCTAAATCATGACAATATCAAGTGAATATTTAAATAATCAAAATTTCATTGCAATTAAAAAACTTGCTGGATGGTGAAAACTAGAAAGGAAAATGAGCTTTTGTGTATCCATATGAAACTACAGTACTTAGAAGCATTGTAAATAACTCATAACATTTATAAAACTTATATTTAAGGATTATAACCTCAAATTCTTATTAATAAATAAACATTTCAAAATTCGTATTGACCAGCACCAGTTGAATCATAAACCCCATCCCCTAAAGAGACTCCACATTTTTTTCTATGTCCCAAAATAAAGTTCCACATTTTCTAGGATAGATTTTGTGGCTCATATTATTCCTCTTTTCTCTATATCAATTTCAACCACAAAATTTTACCTTTATGTTGGACTGACAAAGTACTAAGATAGCCTTTAGTTCTAATTTCTAATGGAACTAAAAGACAGCATTGTTGAATGTGCTTTAGTTTTGGTTAAGCATTGGAGTACAACAAAGTGGCACATTAAACATCAGGTTGTTCTTACCATCTATGTTGTTTTGAATGTAAATGCAACAAAGCATCATGTGCCTAACAAAAACCTCTCTATTTTTAGGGGCAAATCTATGTACATCTGACCCTTAACCCAGTACATTTGACCCTAGAGCTTAAGAGAGTTGTTATTGTATGACGTTTTAGGTAAGTTCACTTTTCTGGAACATCCCAAAACAAAAATAACTCTTTAAAAAACAAAAAAAGAATTGTGTTGTTCATACAAATTCTGTTACGTAAATGTCAATCACGCAACTTACATTTCAAACTAGGACTAAAATTTTATGCAATTTCAAGAATATAGATTTATAGACGTGATCATTTCCAAGAAATGTTTATGCATAAAACATTGAGAGGTCAAGTTTGGCTTCCCAGATTGACAGTTGTACGATGACTTTAAAACACGGAATTGGAGGCTGAACACAACTTTTTTGAGTCCCATAGATTAAGCCATAGTGTAATACTCCGCATAAAACTGACCTGAGGAGCCGGCATTTAATATTGGAGACGAGAAATTGGAGAATTTTATCATGGATAAATCCTGTTTCGAGAGGCCAGAGAACGGGGTTTCAGGCACGAAGGAAGGAATGGAAGCGGATGCCGTGAGACCGAGAGCAGGCGTCTCTGGGGTATGCTCATCATCGATGACGAAAACAGTGGGGTTCGAATCGAGAGCTGTTCTTTGCTTCTTTAAGATGAATGCCAGGGGAGTCGAGAGATCAATAGTATCGTGAGGACGGGAATCACCATCTGGGCTGCGGCGATCGTCGTCGGAGTCGGAGAGTTCTACAGCGACCGGCTCAGGCATTGATATTAGCGCTTGGGTTGCCCCGGTGCGGGATGGTTGCCCACTTGCCCACAGGCCTCAACTACTCTGGAAGGGGAACTTCTCAACTTCCACGCAATAAGACCCAGTACGGCAGTACCTACATAGTATCTTCTACGGAGTAATATACAAAGTCAAAGCAAAAAAATGAACCGTGCAAATTCCAGAAAATTACTCGCAGGTGACGCGAGTTTTGTTGAAATAACTCTCATGTCCCTCTATTTTCAAAAAGGCAGCAGAGGTCCTTACATTTTGTTGTAATGACTGAGAGGGGACATTTCATCCAACACATCATTCGTAAGTGTTAATAAATGTATTTTTTTCCTATTTTTTGAATACCGTTTTTCCTATTTTGCCATTACCTTGTTANAATATAATATAAACAATTTTGAATTTTTATATGATTTTATAGGAGAAATTTTAAAATAACACTTTAAAAAATAGTAACAAAATGAAAGAAAAACAAAGAAATAAAAAAAGGAGCGACCTAAGATTTATTATCTTAAAACATTTAGAAAAGAATAGGAAAAAATACATTTATTAACGTTTATAGATGAAATATTGGATGAAATGTCCCCTTCTAGTTATTACAACAAAATGTAAGGACCTCTGCTGCCTTTTTGAAAATAGAGGGACATGAGAGTTATTTAAACAAAACTGGCGTCACCCATGAGTAATTTTCTGGTGCAAATTCCTTCCTAAACCACTCGGGTACGGGTTGGGTATCCAAATTCGGTAACGAGTTGGGCAAGAGGAAATCCAGATAGGTTTTGGATTGAATAATTGTGTTAGATTTTTTTACTTTTGGGTTCGAGTGAAAACATTAGTGTTGCCTACTGGGATATACTACGTAGAGGTGGCAATCGGATCAACCGAATCGGTTTCGAGTTGAATTTTTTCGGTTATATGTTATAATCGGTTCGGTTCAGATCGGATCGGTTAAATTTCGGTTCGGATTTGATTTCGGTTCTATACATTTTTCGGTTCGGTTTGGTTTCGAGTCGGTTCGAATACAGTTCGGTTATAAATCGGTTCGGATAAATTTCGGTTCGGATATACTTTGAGTCGGATATATTTCGGTTTCGGGTCAAATTCAGTTCGGATATATTTCAGTTTCGGATCAAATATATTTTGGATATATATTATTTTCTAATTAAAATTTAACTATCCATGTTTTTTTTAAGTTTTATCACATTTATCAATCTATCATAAATTCAATACCTCATATTATTTTATATTTTTTCTACTTATATTATCTCTACCCTAAATAATCTTCCCTTTTTGACTTTTTAGTCATATTTTACAAATTTGCACTACAAATTATGAAAACATATATATTTAATTATGATATAAATTTAATATAATTAAATTGATTTTAAAATTTAGTTTTGAAATATCAAATCTTTCTCACATCTACTAATATACTTATGTATATAAATGAAAGGATAAAAGATAAATTCAAATAGTCTTATGTTTCATTTGAATACAATTTGGTACGTAAAAATTGAGTAAAATTGGGTGAAATTAATTAAATTTTATTCAATTGAGTGCAAAATTTGTAAATTATTGAGTATATTTGGTTGAAAATAGAGAAAATTAAATTTAATAGAGTCAAATATAATTAATTTTACACCTAAATGTAATGGTGTAGATCAAATTTGAAAATGATAACAGTAAAGGCTGCCACTAGAGAGTCTCTTCAAAATGCTAACACTAGCATCTAATTTTATTGACTAATATTGAGTGAATTGGTTTGAAACTAATCAAATTAACTCTCAAATCAATAAAATTTATTGTAATGAGATGAAATTAGGATAAAATTTAGTTATTCCATACAATTCAATATATATTCCTTTCGTCCCAAAAAAAATATCACACTTCACTGTTTAAAAATTACAGAAATTTTATTTGTTTGTGCATTATCATTTATATGTATAACTTATCTTTAATTTCTACATATAATAAATTTAAGGCATAAAATTTTATACTTTTTTTCAAGAAGATAATCCATTTTATGAGGGAATGAGCAAGTAAAGTAATTAGTTCAAATGGTAAAGTAAAAGTAAAATTTTAAAAATATAATGTGCTTATTGAAAGACAAACATAGTTCTGAATTTATCGATTTTAGTTCTAATCGGGTTCGGATATTATCGGTTTGAGATCTAATCGGTTTCGAATTTTATCGGTTTCGGGTATTATCGGGTTCGGATCTTATCGGTTTCGCGTTTAATCAGTTCAGATATTATCGGTTTCGGATCTAATCGGTTTGCGATTTAAATCGGATATAAATTATTTAGTTCGGTTTCGGTTCGATTCGGATCATTTCGGGTTTTCGGTTATAGATCGGATCTTCATTTTTCGGATCATTCCGGTTTCGGTTTCGGATATTTCGGTTCGGGTAATCGGTTCCGGTTCTGTTTTGCCAGGTCTAATATTACGTAAGTTTTGACGGCACCATGCCTCTTGAAATATGTATTTTGACAGCTTTCTTTCATTTTAGGACCATGCTACACTTACACCAACAAATATATCCCATTTGTAAACCACATGTTTGCACAAATATTTCGATAGTTTACACCGACACAAGTATTGGTGCGTTAATAAAAATTCACACGGACACAAATGTTGGTACGTTTAACAAAAATTAGTTTTACACCAACACAAAATGTTGGTGCAAAACTACGGGGTACAAATTGTGATACAAGTCTTGGGGTACACATAGCATAATCCTTCATTTTAATGAAGAGTACTTTTTAGGTTTGCACCCTGTTATCTATTGGGAAATGAATTTTTGACGGTTTCATGCCTATTTGAAATCATAATTTCTCCTGGGGAATGATCTTTTTAAAAAACAGGAGTATTAAATTTCTGCAAAAGAGTTAAATATACTCCCTCCGTCTTAAAATTTTCTTCTCATTTCTCCTTTTTCTCCGTCCTAAAACTGCCTTCTTATTAGAAAAAAAGATGACAAATGACATTAATACCCTCATGTATTTACACCAATTATCTTCTAACTCTATATTTTGAATGATTGCAAAAAAAATTTCAAAAAATCTTTTTTAAGGAAGGTAAAATTTGAAGTTAAAGTCAAAAATTAAAAATGGGAAAAGTCAAACTGGGAAGAAAAATTAAGACAAAAGGAATACTCGAGTATTATTTATGAGATAGATGGTAAAAGGAATCTAGCTATTGATACACCTTGAGCCACGTGCCTAAAACCTATTAATGGTCTAAATAATTATGAAGTGGACTTACAAGAAAATAAACATTTAACCATGAAACCGTCAAGGATTATGCTATGTGTACCCCAAGGTTTGTACCTCAATTTGTACTCTGCAGTTTTGCACTAACATTTGTGTCCGTGTGAATTTTTATTAACGCACCAACACTTGTATCGGTGTAAACCATCGAAATGTTTGTGCAAACCTGTGTGTACAAATGGGGTATATTTTTTTTGTGTAAGTGTAGCATGGTCCAACAATCAATGGACATCCATCAATCCGGTATTGAAGTAAACATGACCCAATTAAAAGATGGAGTATGATCTTTTTAAAACAAATTAGTTTCTTTAAAAGGAGAGTAGTTTCAAAAAAGACTATGTACGAGTAATAGTTTTTGGTAAAAAACATAATTAGATTATTTTTAAAGAGTAAATTAAATTTAATCCAAGAATGGTAACTTTGGGGCACTGATCTATTGAACCATGAGAGATTGTTTAACCCAAAAGACACATGCGTTGATGTCACCCATAAACAACCAAAATCCATATTAAACCCACTTGAACATCAACCCATCCTTTCTTTTACCTTGAGCCGAAAATAAAGAGCCAAAACACCTTAAAATCATGCTCCCAACACCAACCAACATGTGGCCCCCCTTGTCTTCTAAAGAGGCCGAAAATACAAGGTAAAAATCAACAAAGGAAGCTTCTTACATTTTGACCTTGTAACCACCACATCTCCCCAACAGTAATAAGCCAAATAACCTCAGGTAGTGTTTGGCAACTAGCATTTCATTTCAATTCATGCATTTCAATTCCAAAATTTGAAATCCTGAATTTCAAATGACAAGGGGAGATGCATAGATTTCAAATTAAGCTTTGTTTTGAATGTAAATAATTTGATTCAAATCCAAATTCAAAATGCTTAAGTTTCCCAAACATGGAATTTAAGTCAAATCCAGATTTGAAATCCAAATCCATGTTCCCAAACATACCATCATTTCATTCACTCCCCTTTGTCCCTTAAGTGGGCCGAAATAATCCATCCCCATCACCAATATTTAACATCATGTTATACCTATAATATCCACCCTTCTTTGCCCCCTAAAACTACTGAAAACATCCCCTCAAAGGCTATATTCACTAACAGTACCTTGTACGAAGTTTGTAAAGTTTTTGCAGGTTCCATGTGATGAAGGAATACAAGAAACCTCCGAGTTTTATCATAAGACTCGTAAAAAGATTGAGAATAGAAATGAGGTTAAAAGTTCCATCTACTTTCAGCCTGGAGACCTAGTGTGGGTCATGTGCAAAGAGAGCATTTCTTTGACAAACGCAAGGCAAAGCTTCAACCCTGAGACGATGGTCCATTTAAAGTGGTAGCCAAGGTCAAAAATCGTGCCTACGCGGTTGCTCTCAATAGAAGTGATGGAGTTTCTGCCACGTTCAATAAGAGAGACCTCAGTCCATATAACGGTCTTGATTATCCGTTGAGTTTGAGGGCAAACTCTTTTGAAGACCGGGAGGATGTTATACCCGAGCCTAGCCCCATGAAACTCTCACTCATGCCTTACACTATCATAAGAACCAAAGGACTTATATTCAAATATTATGATCCATTTTAGTTAAATTCAAATGGTCCTTAAACCCGAAAGGCCAAAACAACCTCTCTTTGACCCGAGGGTTCTGTGGTCTACTCCCATTTCAGTCCAAACCATCCCAAAACATCTAAAAAGACTTTATGCTTCCCCCACTCATTTCAAAGCCCTTGGCCGAAAATGAGAGAAAATAAAAGCCAAAACCTTTGTTTGTTTCTTTTAAAGTTCTTTTACCCAAATAATGTCTTTCCTCTTTATTTCCTACAACTATGGACTAAAATCCCTTCCATTTTATCCATAAATCAGGCCCCTTTTAAACTATTAACAAATAGAAATCACCTTTCTCACAATCATGATAGAAGTCATAAAGTTGAATAGTGAAAATTTGTCCTTTTGTTGACTTATTTCACATCCTTGCACCCATGATCTTTCCTTGTCATTTCTTACCATATGGGGCCAAAATTCCTTACACAAAAATCAGGGAATATCTCCTCTTAAACCCCACAATTCCCCACCCTTGACCATAGATACTAAAGGCCGAATCCATCACACACAACAAGCCAAGGGACATTTCCATTACAGCCACTTAATGTTCCCTGTTGTTTTCTGCACACATGGCCGAATTTCCTCCTTCAAAACGGGCCAAGAAACATTTCAAAATATCTCTCATTTTAAGGCAGGATTTAGGACTTCTCGACCTGACTGAGGATATGGCCCTAGATAGGAACCTTTAATTTGGAGAACTAGGATTAGAGTAGCTGGATAGGAGCTCGGTGTTGTAGAGGTTGTTTTGTAGTGTGTTGTATTTGTTGGGAATCTTTTTCTATTGTTTGTACTTGTTGCTTGTACTTGGTGCCTTATCTGTGCTATACTGTGTTCTCTTCCATATTTTTGTGCATGCAGGTGGAGCCGGGGGTCTCTTGGAAACAGCCTCCCTACTTCCGAGTAGGGGCAAGGTCTGCGTACACACACCCTCCCCAGACCCTACTGTTGTGGGATTCAACTGGGTTGTTGTTGTTGTTGTTGTTGTAGTGGCGGAATAAACATCACAAAACCAGCCAAAGGAATCCATCATCTTAGTCATGAATTTAACTCATTTGGATGCTGATTTTGGAAAGGATTAAGAAGCTGCCTTGATTGTATCCTTTCTCCCTTATTATGTATATATAATTTCGGCCATAGGCCTTGTAAACCAGCATATGAATTGAATGAAAACTTTGTTTACTCTTTTGAGCATTCTCTTAAAATAGTGTGATGCTATTTTAGCCAAATTCCTAATTCTATATCCAAAGAGTGGTTCTCTTGAGTGTGAGTTTTAGGTTCTAGTTATTTGATTGAGTGTGTAATATCTTGATGAAATACTAGAGTTCAACCCCAAGTTAATCTAGTGGTGAATTTATCCTTTAGTATTAATTTGGCTCCAAATTAAGATAAGAGTGCGTTTATCTCTTATCCTTGATTTGGAATTTATCCCATTCTTCCCAAACCCATCCTTCTCTTTTGATATTCCACTCTTCTTCAAATTATCAAAAAAACCCAAAAAATGAACTCCTCACCATCTCCGTATTTCGTCCAGCCCATTCCCAACTTATACACCTCCATTTCTTCCCGTTTCCAAGCCTAAAAACATCAACTTGAAAAGACCCCCCCGGTTCACCCCTAACACCTTGCTTCCCTTGACTTAGCCATTCCTGGGGCCTTTTTGCTCCCACGGCGTCGCCATGTTCTTCAAAAGTCCCCTGGTTGCTCATGCGACCATTGGATCTCATGTTCTGGACTTAGCCATTTCTAAGGCTTTTTCGCCACGGTGTCGCCCCCTCTATAGGGCGTGTTGTCCTACTGGTCGCCCTAGCGGCTGTAGATCAAGCACCCACTGATAGCCTTTGGACTTGGTTAGTTGATTACCAACTGGGTTCAGCACTTCATCCTTTGATGGGCATCTTAGTGCAAATCACCATGTGGCTTCGATTGGCGATCTATTTGGTCGCTCCTTTTTTTGTACAATGAAATTCAAGAAGAGATGGGACCAGGAAGTGCCAAAATGCTAATTTTATTAAACTCAAAGGAGAAACATAGCAGGAGTACAATCTTTTCCTTTATGATGTATGGTGATGTACCCCCGGATGGCTCAAGCAAAACCACCCTCTCCCAAATATCCAAAAAAGTTTTCTCTCCTTTCTTTTATCAAAAATAAAATCTTTTCCATCAAAATGAGACCAAAGAAGACAAAATAAAACCTTTGTTTCTTGTTTTTGCCTTTTCAAACAAAACCACAAAATATTCTCCTCTTTCTTTCCTAATTTTGATCCTGAAAGCATGAATGATCGATTATACATAACTGATAATCGATTATCTGTATTCTCAAAAAATACCCAGCTATGTGCAAGCCTTGTTAACCGATTGATCATGCTTGTCAATCGATTATTGGGTTCCTCAGAACATTCCCAGTTTGAGCTAAACTCTATTAATCGATTTACTAAATGTGCTAATCGATTATTCCATACCCTGAATCCTGAGTGAATCTGTTCCTGTTTATTTATCCTAAGATTGGGTATAAGGCTAAAATTATGTCCTGAATTTCAACAAATAATAAAGCCTTTTCTTCCACAAAACAAAAGCATAATCAGTTTTGAAACAAAGGAACAAAATTCAGAAACAAAGTCATTGAATGAATAGTGCTGTATTGGCATTTTATTCACAAAAGTCTAAAGCTTGATTCCCCTTTGTTTTCTTCCTTATATGCACGAAATTTCCCCCTAAATAAACCCAAGGAAGATCAGCCCAAAATCAGGAGAAGCATCTTGGAAAATCAGCTCACATGGATGGACATTAATCTTTGATTTTTAGGAAAGAAGTAGGAAGTTTCCTTTATTGTATTTTTCTTTATTTGTTGTTGTATTTCCCCCTCCATTGTGGCCTATATATACACAGGCATATGGCCATTGTAAGACAGCCATGGATTGAATAAAAACTTCTTTGTTTTACTCTTTGAGTAATTCTTTAAAATAGTGTGATGCTATTTTAACCAAATTTCCTAATGAAATATCTCTAAAGTTGGCTACTTTTGAGTGCATGTTAGGAGTCTAATTTTATACATTAGTAGTGATTATTAATGTGTAAAAGAAGATAAAAGCCCAAGTTAAGATAAGAGTGTGTCATATCTCTTAACACCAACTTGGTTTATCCCTTCACTTTATTTCTGCCCATTTCATTCCTCACCATTTCTTCTTCTTAAACTTATTCTTTTGTCTCATTAAAAACACCAAAAAGAACTCTTTCCCACACTCCATATTTCATCCTTCAGTTCTATCATCCATTTCCTTCCGCAAATCCGCCACAAAATAGCTACTCGATAAGACCCCGGGTCTTGGGTACAACATATGGCCCTTCAAAACTCTTGGAAAACTTCCCCCCGTCGGTCGGCTGACTGACCTCCCTTTTTCTTAGGACCTAATCGCCCGTTTTGAACTGCCTTGGTCGCACCCTTTGATCATGGTATGACTTAACTTGTCGACGGTAGTTCTCTGCTTGGATGTATGCCCTTTCTCTTTGCTCATCTATAAGATGTAACTCCGACCCTTAGGTTCTCTTCGTTCTCCTGGGCATCAAATGTTTCCACTCTATGACTCAGCAATGAGGTTTCAGCTCGACCCCTCGCCTCGAACCCATATGTGAGTGTGAACAGCATTTCCCCCGTGGCCTTTCTTGGCCTGGTGCGCTGAGCATTTTCCCTCATGGATTTCTTCCATCAACTTCTGCGCTTCATCCCCCCTTAGACACCTTAACAGTGTACCATTGTATGACCGCTTATACAACCTACCGCACACCATCGTGTAGCTAGGTGCGCGTTGCTTGACGACTTTGGCTGCAACCGGATCTGTTGGTAGCGATCCGTCAAGGATGTACATAGTTAATTCGTCAACCCAGTCCGGCTCATTAAGTGTAATGACCAAAACTTGTCCGGGACTGATGCTTGGTTCAAGTAACTCTTCTTCCCGAGTCATCGCCCTGATATGATCTAGGGATCAGGACCAAGCTGCGACAGGATGTCCGCCCTTGCATTTTCTTCTCGAGGGACCTGCTCTATCCTGTACGCTCCGAATGCCTTAAGCAACTCCAACGCGGTGTCTCTATATTTCTTCATTCGCTCATCCTTTGCTTCAAATTCTCCTGTGACATGGCCCACTATCAGTTTGGAATCACACCTGACCTGGATCCGCTCAGCTTTCAATGATGCCGCCAGCCTCAATCCGCAGAGAAGCGCCTCGTACTTAGTCTCATTGTTTGAGACCTTGAAACGGAATCTTACGAAGTAATATGCTTTAAAACCTTCTGGTAATATCGCCACGACGCCTCCCCCCCGAAGCATCGGTCGCGGACGAGCCATCAGTGTATATGGTCCACCAGCTTCCTTCGGGTTCTTCTCCGTTGGACTCTACTTCCCTTGCGGTGCATTTTACCACAAAGTCCGCTAGGGCCTTCCCCTTGATCGCTGGTCGCGGCTTAAATTTTATCTGGAAAGAACCCAGGAACACTCCCCATTTGCTAACTAGCGACGGGGCGTTCGGACTCCGAAGGAGGGTTCTGATTTGAATTTGGGACATCACGTGGTCCGGGTGAGCTTGAAAGTAGGCGGTGAGCTTCTTCATCGTGCATACCACTACAAAGATAGTCTTTTGCATATTTGTATACCTCAGCTCTGCCCCTCGCAATACCCGGGCCACATAATACACAGGGCACTGCATACCTTCCTCCTCTTTCACAAGTACTGAGCTCACAGCCCGATGAGAGATCCCTAAATACAAAAACAAGGTCTCTCTAGGCTCCGGCTTCGAAAGCACTAGCGGCGAGAGGAGGTACGCCTTCAACCCTTCAAAGGACCTCTGACATTCCTCGGTCCAGACAAAGCCCTGGTTCTTCTTTATTGTCTAGAAGAAAGGTGCCGCTCGATCAGCTATCTTCGATAAGAAGCGACTGAGAGCAGCGATCCTCCCCGTGAGTTGTTGGACCTCCTTCACATTTCGCGGAGGCTCCACCTCCAAAATTGCCTTCACCTTCTCTGGATTGGGCTCAATCCCCCTTTGATTGACCATATGCCCTAAGAACTTGCCTCCTTGAACCCCAAATGTGCACTTCTCGGGGTTGAGGCAGAGTTGGAACTTCTTCATGATTCAAAACACTCTTTCCAAATCACGGGCATGGGACTCCATCTGCTTCGATTTGACAATCATATCGTCCACATACGCTTCCATGCTCCACCCTAACACCGTCGCGAACAGCTTGTTGACCATTCGAGCATAGATCGCGCCAGCATTCTTTAGACCAAAGGGAATCACCTTGTAACAGTATACCCCATTGGGGGTGATGAAGGCAGTCTTCTCTTCGTCTGCTGTAGCCATTTTGATCTGATGGTATCCACTGAACCCATCTATAAAACTCATCAGCTTGCACCTTGCCGTCTCATCCACCAATTGGTCAATGTTGGGAAGAGGAAAGGGATCCATTAGGCAAGCCTTGTCCAGGTCGGTGTAATTGACGCACATCCGCCAGGTATTCCCTTGGGGTGCGAGGACTACGTTCGCCAACCATTCCGGGTAGCGGACTTCCCGGATATGCCCGATGGGCTGCAGGGTTGCCACTTGCTTAGTGAAAAAGTCTCTCCTTTCTGAGGAAAGGGACATTTAGAGCATAGACTAAAAGTCTAAGCAATGTCCTTAAGGTGGGCCAGGTCTTGCATCCTATTATTAACGATAATAACTGTCCGAGAGTAGATTCGAACACTCCGTCATTGACCAAGAGACTAGGTCAAACCTCCAACTCTCACTAGTCTCACACGCACTAACGATATCCCACTCTTGTTAATGCTTTGACTATAGACCATTTAGAATTATACTAAGTGCCAAGATGTTAGTCTCAACAACAGAAGACTCATTGTGATAAACATCTTATAATATAATTCTAGGAATGTAATTAAGAGTTTACATTAGCATGAGATGTTTGTAAACTTATTACATCTGCCATTACATGATAGAAAATATCTAAGATATTACAACATTAGTTGGCCATAAGGGCACCAACTCTAACAACATGCTCCTGTGTTAGCGTTGCCTAATTTTGAAAAGTTGTTCGAGGTAGAGTGTGACGCTTCTAGAGTTTGCATAGGGGCTGTCCAAAGCCAAGAAGGACATCTGGTATCATATTTTAGCGAAAAGCTATATGATACTAGGCGGAGATATTCCACGTATGACAAAGAGTTCTACGCTTTTATACGAGCTCTTGAGCAATGGCGCCACTACCTTGTGAGCAAAGAGGTTATATTCATTCGGACCATGAAGCGTTGAAGTATATACAAGGGCAACAGAAGCTTCGACCCCGCCATGCCAAATGGGTTGAATATCTCCAAACCTTCACCTCACAATCAAACACTACAATGGAACCCTCAACAAAGGAGCCGACGCCTTGTCAAGGCTACATTTATTACCAACTGTACTTAGTACCAAACTTGTTGGCTTTATACGAAGCAGATGAAGACTTCAAGGACACTTTCGAGAAGGGTAAAATTCGGTCCTATGGTGAATTCCTCATCAAAGATGGTTGTCTTTTCCGTGGGAACCAGCTGTGCATACCCAAATGCAGTGTACGTGAGACAATCATTGACGAGGTTCACAGAGGAGGTCTCGCTGGTCATTAAGGATCTGAAAAGATCTATATGATGATGAGAGAGTACTATTTCTGGCCAAAGATGGGGCGGGATGTCGAGCACTTCATAAAGTGCTGTCACACGTGTCATTTAGCGAAAGGACACTCACTACCGGAAGGAAGACATCTAGCACTACCCATCCCCAATGCACCATGGGAAGACGTGAGCTTAGACTTCATAACCGGGCTGCCTAGAACTCAAAGAGGAAAGGATTCCATCATGGTTGTGATGGATCGCTTCTCAAAGATGGCCCACTTTGTTTTGTGTTACACCACTTATGACGCATCCCAAGTGGCCGATCTTTACTTTCGAGAGATCATCAGACTACACGGCATTCCACGAAGCATGGATTCAGATCGAGACACGAAATTCTTAAGTTATTTTTGGATGACTTTATGGAGGAAATTGGGTACTAAACTCAAGTTTAGTACGGCTAGCCAACCACACACCGAGGGATAGACGTTGGTCACCAATCGCGCTTTAGGAACACTTCTTCGGGAAATGGGAAGAACATCTCCCATACGCCGAATTTGCATATAACTGCACTCCGAACAACACTACCCCGCTGTCTCCTTTTACAGTGGTCTACAATTCGAATAGGACGAAACACCTTCCCCCACAACCTCACCCTTCCCCCTTGTTTTCATTCCATTAAATAAGTGGACATTATTCCCCTAAATAAGTGAATGTAACTAGGAAGCTTCCCTCCCCCCTTGGTGTGTTTATATACGGCCCTAGGCCTTGACATTTGGGAATTGTATTCTCCATTTTTACTAAGTAATACACTTGTGTGTGTTCTCTTAAAATTCCTATTTCTATATCTTAAGAGTGGTTCTCTTAAGTGTGAGTTTTAGGTTCTAGTTATTTGAATGAGTGTGTAATATCTTGTTTGAATACTAGATTCAACCCCAAGTAAGCTAAGGGTATGTAATATCCCTTAACACCACTTGGTTTATCCCCCATTAAAGGAAAACAACTAAAGAACTCCCTCCATGTCTTCCTCCATTTCGGCCTATCCACTGCCCCTCTATAACAGCCCCTCTTCTCTTACTCCTTAGCCAAAATTCAAAGCCTAAATATCCTACTTCACTGCCCCCATTCGTCCCTCACTCTTTCCCCATTAAAATATCCCTTTTTCCATCCCATTTCACTCACAAACTCACCCTCAACTCCCCCTTTGTTCCTCAACCAATTCGGCCAGCCCTCTCCCCTCTTTTCACCTTGAGTTGGTGCCTAACATTTGGTATCGGAGCTAAGTGTTGAACATCCCCAAGGGCCATTCACCATCCCTCCCAAGAAGTAAGCATTTTGAGCTCAAAACTCTCTTCCTCTACTCTCCCTAAACCCCACGGCCAAACTAAACTACCATTCTCACCTTTTTCCCACTTCAACCATGTCAAATGAATTCCAACCCATGTCCCATGAAGAGCTTGTTGCCTCTAATGCAGCCTTGAAGGCCCAAGTTGAATACTTGGCCAAAGAAGTGGCTAAACTTACCAAGATAAAACTGAATGCACTACAAGGAAGTGATCATGAGGATGACGATAGCACTAGTGGCATCACCAAAACTAGGGCTCCCGTCCATGAAGGTTCTGATTTCAAGGTGGACATTCCGACCTTTGAAGGAAAGAATGACCCGAACGAGTTTCTAGAATGGCTAGAGACGGTGGAACGTGTCTTCGATTTCAAAGAAGTTTCCGACGAGAAGAAGGTCAAGATAGTGGCCTTGAAGTTCCGCAAGTATGCATCCACTTGGTGGACCAATACTTGCACCAAAAGAAGAAGAAAGAGTAAGGAACCGGTGTCTACTTGGACTAAGATGAGGTCCCTCTTGAAGAAGATGTTCCTACCTGCTGAGTACGTTTGTGAGAATTTTGCTAAGCTCCAAACGCTTAAGTAAGGTTCAAAGTCTGTGGAAGATTATAACTGAGAGTTCGAGGAACTCTTGTTGAGGTGTGTCTTACAAGAAGACGATGAGCAAACCTTTGTACGCTACCTTTTTGGCTCGAACCTACAAATAGCCAATACGGTGGAGTTACAAAGCTATGAGACCCTCGAAGAGCTCACCAAGTTAGCCCTCAAAATTGAAGCACAAATCAAGAAGTCCAAGGCCCTTTTTTCAAACCTAACCCCACCTATACACGGCCTAACCCTATCTCCCAAAATACCACCTATATCCTTCCAAAACACCCTTTTCCTCTACCAAGACACCCCCTACTGCCCATGGCCAAACCCCCAATTCTTCAACCCCAACACCATCCAAACCCCCCCCCCCTCCTCTTTCCCTCTACAAGGGCTGATCCCAATAAGAAAGCCCCTATTTGTTTCCGTTGTCAAGGGCGAGGTCACTATGCTAACGAGTGTCCTAACAAGAAGGTTATGGCAATCGTTGAGTGTGATGAAGAAGATTGCGACCCAAATTGGGTTGAAGAAGAAGTTGAAGAAGTGGAAGAACAAGATGAGTACGTAGGTCTCGATGATGACGAACTCTTGGTCATCCGAAGGACTTTGAGCACTCTAGCATGCCCTAAGGAACAACTACAACGGGAAAACATATTCCACACCCGTTGTACTGTCCAAAAGAAGGTGTGTTCCCTCATCATTCATAGTGGAAGTTGCACTAATGTGGCTTCCAAAACCATGGTAGACAAGCTGCGTTTGAAGACGTCACCACACCTGAAACCATATATGATTCAATGGTTGAATCATGGCAAGGGTTTGCGTATTGACACACAAAGCCTCATTTCCTTAAGCATTGGCGGCTCGTACAAAGACGAAGTATGGTGTGATATCATCCCGATGGACGCTTGCCACATCCTTTTGGGACGACCATGGCTGTTTGATCACCGTGTGCAACATGATGGTTATGCCAACACTTATTCATTTTTTATGAATAAGAAGAAGATCACTCTTACCCCTTTACCCCCTCCTGTAGCCACGGCCAAACCAACCAAAGAACAACCCCCCTATTCTTGTCTCCACCATCCTACAAGCCAAACAACATGAATTCAATGGGATTAAAGACTTGATCCTATTGGAAGATGGAGAAACCGAACCCTCAAACCACCCAAAACAGTCACATCCTTTAGCCGAACCCATCCTCAAAGAATATGCCCATGTTTTCCCCGATGATGTTCCACACGGCCTCCCACCTAAGCGGGACATCCTAGATTGACCTCATCCCGGGGGCTGCCCTACCAAACAAACTGGCATATAGGATGAATCCCGAGGAGACAAAAAAAATTCAATGCCAAGTGGATGAACTATTGGCAAAGGGTTTCGTAAGGGATAGCCTTAGCCCATGTGTTGTCTCGGAACTCTTGGTGCCAAAGAAGAACGAAACGTGGTGCATGTGTTGTGATAGTGTCGGTCTATTAATAAGATCACTATCAAGTATCGGTACCCCATCCCACGTTTGGAAGACATGCTTGATGAACTACACGGGTCTAAGATTTTCTCAAAAGTTGATCTTAGGAGTGGCTACCATCAATTCGCATCTTTGAAGGAGATGAGTGGAAAACGGCGTTCAAGACGAAGTTCGGGCTATACGAATGGCCGGTCCCGTTATAAAACTATATTGAGTTGGTGTCGTTATTAAAGAACAAAAATAGAGTACAAAATCAAATATAAAGTTATAAAGCATAAATATCAAATGAATAACAAATTTTGGAAAACTTCTTTATAAACTATATTGGTACTCATGAATCATTGATTGCAACCTCATGTTCTTTGTTTAACGCAACACGGTACAATATATCCAAATGTAAGAAGAATTAATTGCTAAATTAATAATATCTTATTTGATTTTTTTTTGAATTACTGACAATACTTTATAAAAATCTCTACCAAAAATGATCATTTTTCCTTCGAACATTTGGTTTTCGCTCATTGGATTGGAAAATCGTAGAATATCGCGCAAACTTCTACCTAAAGCTTTAATGCAATACTTATGTGTCATTAGTACTTCGTCCCAAACAATTAAAATTTTTTCACTAAAAGTTGTCTAGTAGTGTTCCTTGCTTTATATGGCAAGTTGAGTTTCCATCCGAGTTCAACAAGATTTTAAAATGTGAATGAGTTGTTCTTCCTCCTGGCAAAAGTAATGATGTTATTCCACTTGATGCGATATTCAATACTATATCGCCAAAAGCCCTATTGCAGTAGATAAAGTTCTCTAGACATACGTCTTGTCAGTTTCTCTGTACCCATAGAGGAAGAAAATTTTACCTGCATTTGTATCAACCGAATGCATTATACTATTATAGTGTCATACAATGCACAATGTTCGTTACTTAACTTACCCGAAACGCTGATATGCTCCCTTGCAAAAGTACATAGTCATTATTTTTTCAATTTTTTAAAAAAGAAACAAATTATTAATAGAGAAATGAAAAAAGTAACAAAAAAGTATTAAAAAAGAAAATTCAAAATACAACCCACTTTTACAAGTCAAACAGTTTACGAGTGAGAAAAAGTAGTGTAATAGTTGTGATTATTTCAAAATATTCTATAGGGGAGATTAGTTTGAGCGGACAAGTATTAGGGGCTGTTTGGCAACTTCTGAATGGATAAGTGCTGAACCAGTAAGAGGTCTGAACCATTAAGAGCTAGTATATTGCTTAACTATTCAGAGGCAAATGTCTGATCAATTCAGATAAGAGGTCTTAACCATTCAGACTCTGTATAATACTTAACCATTCAGAGGCAAATCTCTTAACCATTCAGACATCTGAACCATTAAGAGGCTGAAACAAACAGTCTGAACCATTAAGTGCTGAACCATTCAGACATCTGAACCATTAAGAGGCTGAAACAAACAGCCCCTTAGTCTGGATCACTTTTATCCATTTTCCTATACAATGGTGATATTAATAGTCAAAATGTTGATTCAGAAACTGAAAAGTCAAACATGGAGAAAGATTTGTGAGGGACGGAGCACTAGTGCAGAGGTTCAAAAACATATACCGGGATTATTGTTTTTCTCCTACGGAAAGTCATGGGAAATGAAATCAACACTGTCAACCAAAAATCGCATCCACGTCATCTAGGGTAGGAGCATGTCAGAACCTCACTCAAATGTGAGGTAATCATTCTACAGACTGAGAATGTATAATAAAAAACAAATAAAAAAAACATCAATTCTGGTCCTTTTTTTTCAAGGGAGTAAAGACGAAAATTTATAGCTGCGCCCGTAAATCAAATTGCACCGCTTGGTTTACTTGGCCGGCTCTGGACTACCTTTGGACTACTGATGCGATGAGTGATCCGATTTCATCTAGAACAAAGTGTATTCTCTATCTCATAGAATTTCATGAGCCTTCCCGTAGTATCTGTTTATGAATGGAGACTGCAGCACACGTTTCAAACAAAAAAATGTAAGACTTCACAAACCATGTTCATAAGTTGCTTGTACAAAACCAATACATTGTTCAAACCTATTATTAGTGCATAAATATGGGAAAAAGCATTTTTCAAACCTAAGGAGGAGTGGGTAAACCTTTGGACAAAGCAGAACACTAATAAAGTCTTGGTCATTTTATAAAGGAAGTTTTTCAACGATCCCAATTTTTATGTTGCACTAATTACCAACCTTGACTAAAGACACCTACTAGCAAAAACTTGAAAACATGAACCTCACCTTCACATTTGACACATCAGGTGTATCAGTTGTTGGCACAGGATAAAACTTGTAGAATCTCATATTTTCAAAAGCAGTCTTTGTTTCCTCGCTCATTTCTGTTATTGCCTTTTTCCGGGATTCCCTTGCCTAAGAGAGAAAATCGACGATGTGCTCATGGAAGTGAGATAAAACAGACAGGATGTTTCTCATGAAAATATGAAGCAGTATAAACCGAAGAAGGGTCATTGCAGGAATATTTAACCAAATACCTCGCGGTTAGCTTTTTTTGCTTCTCGGACCTTTTCCTCAACAAAGTCCTGATTAAATGGGGAAAAACTATTTTAAGAGGAATTGCCAAGATAACAAAGAGACATGTAGAGCAAATTTAGTATGGAAAATGGTTTCCGTTTCTGCCTTCATTTTGTCTATTTCCGTTTCTGCCTTCATTCTGTCTATTTCTCATTGTTCAAATGAAAAACACCACAGAGACACAAAAGGCCTGGAAAACAGAATTTGCCGGTGCAATTTGGAAAGCTCTTTCAACTTGAGATCTCCATTTTCCATTTTGATTTTTAATTCCAGGTACAGTTTGAAAAAGTGAGCCAGTATAATAATGTCCTAATTGCAATGAACATTTACCTTGAAGGAATCTTTTTGATCTTCACTCACCACCTCCTCTTTAATAAGGTTGTCTGTGAATTCCTACAATATTGACCATCAAGTGAGAGTAATATGAATTAAGCTTTTTACCTACATAAACCATGTGTGATCAAACAATAGATACTTTTTCTAATAATCCAAACAAAAAAGAAGTATATTCTTTATGTAGTGTCTGGTCGATGCAGTAAATTATACGAGCATATCTATTCTAAACAGCATTTAGCTGGCCAAATGCTAAACAAATAACAGAAATGCTTTCGAAGGCTATAATGAGCTCCTTCTCAAGAAGCTTTTTGTCACCATGAAATCCGCTTTTTTCAGTAAGCCCGGATGGAGCAAACAAACACATTGTATGCACCAATAGATATTTCACATTATAAACTAAAGCAAGGTGTAGAAAAGACTAAACTAGCGACCACACAAGACAACTTCCAAATTCTGATGTAGTATGAAATATTATTTTGATTTATATATCTTGATTGAGAATACTTTCAGCTATATTGCAAACTAATGTTAAACCAAGATATGTATATCACATTATCACCATTACATCATCAGGAAGACGGAATACTATTATACATCTAAATTCCACTCCCCTTCAAGACAGAACATAGATATCATGTGTGCCAAGCTTGTTACCTTATACATGGGCCTCTTGAAATGAACAAGAAAAGGGCATTACTTTTATTATCGTGATTAAAAAGTGTCGAGATAATGAAAGAATTGTTTGCAATGTCTGGTGATTATGGATGTTGGATACACTTAAACGGGCTTTTGCCAAAACGTGAGTACAAAATAGTTGCTTGGACATTAGTAGTTGGATCATATCTCATTCATACAAAATCCAAATCTAAGAAAGCTCAATCAAGATATGTTGTAGAGCCGCCTCCTCTTAACTTTCCATGGCATTTTGAATCGCCTCAAAATGACTTTGCCTCAATCAGACTTCGTATGAGTGAGATATGATCCAAATACTTACATCTAGGCAAACTGTTTCCAGTTCACTTTTTCTTTTCCCAAAACATTTTGAAACGGGCTTTACGCCCTTGGGTGTGAAAGCTTAGCATCATTTTGGGTGTAAACTTGTTTTTTGTCTATTTTATTTATTCTTCAAAAAACCTTACAAAAGAATCTGCTCTTTGTAGAACACCTGTGCTCTTCATTTCTACCACTTCTATTCTATCTAAGTCTTGAAGATCCTCAAAAAAAAAAAGGAACATATCTATACATATGTTGAGTTATGGGTTTCCACATGCGGCCGAAGAAAACAGAAATCATTCTTGACAATGGAGCAAAGACGTGCAAACTACGCTCAGTGTTGCATGTGTTGTGGCCATGGTCATGACTACTCGGCATGTGCAAATGAAGATGCAATACTCTATGAAAAATATTTTGAGTTTGTGTGGAGCCTAAAAGAACACCAAGCCACCATATGAATTGAAGTGTGAAGAAAAAGAAGAGAAAAAAAATGGATGAATAATTTTTTTCTAACAATATATTTTCAATTTTTTCTTCATTGCAAGAGTGTGATTACAGCCGACTCCCAGAATTTTAAAATTGGAGAATTTCTTTTACAAGAGTTTTCTTTTGGGGTTGTCCTCGCATAGAAAATGCCAAATTGGGCTTTAAAAAATCAAACATAGTAAATATCTGATGTGCGACAAATAGAGCAATACGACCCCAAACAAGCTGCCCCAACCATGAAACGCCACACAAAGACATAAACCACCACAAAATCGATCAATCTCTAATATCATGTGAAATAGTATAAAATATTGGTTATATCTTCATTGAAGAGAATTACAATAATATATAACAAACAATTACTCTTAAGTCCAGATATTATTATCACCATTACAGCATTACGATGAAATACACTATTCTACAACTAATTCCACTCAAAAGATTCAGTATATACTAGTAATGTAGCCTTTTACGAAAAAATACCTACAACATGCATTACATAGAATGCATTTCCTTAATTAAAATAACAAGACAAGTGAAGACATATAGGTGATTTATTAATTGTCTATATTGTTAGGTAAGCTTAAGAGGCCAATCACAGATGGCAGTAGAGGGATAGAGGGGTAGGTGAATAAATTAAGATTTGTATATTACCTCAACTTCATCGAATTCCCAATCAAACTCGCAGAACACCTGTATGAAAAAATAGAGTACAAATAGAATGAAATACTTTGGTAAGCATATCGGCATATTTCACTATTGCCTAATATCTGAGGGAGTTCAGTATCAGAACTCTAAGAAATCATACAGGTTTAGGTTCTACGGGATATATGATAGGAACTACAGTGCTCTGTTCAAACTCATCATCCTTGAAAGGCTGGTAGAAATCTGTGAAAACAATAGACAATTTGTGAGTTGACTTCCAACTGAGGTAAATCACACAAAATAGCAGCCCACAGCTACATAGTAAATACCACTGCATAGATAATGAATCCAAGAAGAGAACTTGAAACATACTAGACACAAACACATTCTCCCTATGATCAAGCATAAATTCAAGAACTATATTTATGATTCTTGTTGGGCCTGAAAATTACACCCTATTATCCCACATCTTGGTAGTCTTTTAGAACATTTTTATCCTTTACAGTGACACTTTGGTGAGCTGTATCATTTCCCCAGGTTTTGGTAACTTTTTAGAAAATGACTTGATAATGGGGAATTTTTGCATTACTTTTTGGGAAAAATCAATTTGGGCCTTGTAAAGCCCCACATTTGGCTCTCTTAGGTTTGGTCAGTAGACCATTTGATTAGAGGGGATTATTATTTTTCTTCCCCGGGGGGTGTTTCATTCTAACATTCAGATAGAGAGAGTAGCATAGACCAGAGAGAGATTGAGAGGGGGGAGTCGCGAGTCAAGATACAGAGAGGAAAAATGAGTCTCCGATCACAAACCGCCTTTGTCCAGGCATTTCCAGGCAAGTGTGCAAACACGCACCCCACCACAAGGGCGACAACAACCAGAGCTTTCATTCTCCATGTTTCAATGCACAGACCAAGCTCAATCTGAGATCGTACGAATGCACACACCTCATGTTTTTACGCTTTGTTCTTTCCACTTGCGTTTTTCCTTCGTTAACCTTAGTTTGCTCTTTGCTTCTTTTGTGCTCTGTGCTTTTTGCACTTTGTGTTTTCTGTGCGATCTATGTGTTATCTGTGTTAATTGAGCTAGGGTAGGGTCTCTTGGAAACAACCTCTCTACTTTCGAGTAGGGGCAAGGTCTACGTACATACACACTCTCCAGGTCCTACTCTCGTGGGATCTAACTAGGTTGTTTTTGTTGTTGTTAACTTGCCACACTTATTCAAGACTATTAAAAATTATGTTGGCCTTCCAAATATTCCCCTACCAATCTACCATTTGTATTTTTTCTCCGCAACCTGACTAGTGTCGTCCACGACCCAGCGTGCCGACCATCCGTAGAGATCGTTGTTCATCTGTGTGGCTTCCTGGAGAAGCATCACCACCTTCTCCATCTTTGACTTCAGCTCGGCGCATTTCTACTTGACGAACACACATTCCACGCAGCCTTGCGCACGTAATTTGCCAATTGGATCGGCTTTTTCCAGAATATGCTTCTCTTTATCCGCCATTAACAGACCTCAACCATATTCCGTAACTATACTTTAATTCATTTACACTGAATAGTTGGAGGAAATTGAATATATTTCCACATTTTATAATAATAGAGAGCTTGACACAAAGGAGAAGATGAGTTTATTGTTTTCATCCATGGAAGGTTCTGGCCAATATTGTATTAGATTAGGACTACTAACTTGCTCACCAAGACTCTAGGGACTAGTCTACATTGAGGTATTATACGTAGTATTCATTAATAAAATCATCAATAATTTTGGTAGTCGATTCATGCGCCTGCAGCATTGCCAAGCACCAAAGTTTACTCTCTGTCGATGGCAAGAGGGATCCCTTCTCTGCCAAGGGCAAGAGAAACCCCTACTCTGCCAAGGGCGAATAAACTCTTGTTGTCATAGCTTTCAATCTACATCATCTTCAATCTCCAGCCACGCTTGTAATATACTAAAATATTGTAATGGACTACTAAAAATGCAAATATTAAAAGAAAAAAATGTGTTCACTCACAAGGTAGGCAATATTCAAACTTCTTCACACGTTCCAACTTCAAATGTTTTAAGCCAGCTCTATGAAAACAACACAGATGCGTCAATCACAAAACAATAGTACACAGTTCTGTGTCTATATGGCCAAAAGTGTTATCCGTACTCAAATGAAAATAGTACAACAAAAGGGAGAGAGAGAGAGAGGGATTTGCAGTCAAATTTGATCTTTGGTGCGTTAAACTTAAAAAACAATAGTTAAACAGTAAAATTGCTCATGCTGATTGGAAAAATAGTACTCCGTACTAGATAAGCTCACAAGAATCTCAACAATTGTTGGGTCAAATAAGAGAGCCTCAAAGGTGGGATATGATCCTGTGGACCAATTATTACTCTATAAACAGAGTTCTAAGTAAATCCGACAATAGAATGCATGTAGCACCACCAGAAAAGATATTTCAAGAGCCTTTGAAAGCAAAATGCAACTATACCTTCTTTGTGTACAGCCCAATATAAAAATTTGGGACTTGAGCCTTTCAACCTGAGAACCTCTGGAGAAATAAGAAGGTTGAAAAGAACAACTTGTAATAACATAAAGCATTGATATGTGAATTTAAAAAATACTCTGTATATGACAATACCTGTTGTCCAGAGGTATGTATGGAATCCAATCCATTTTCATCTGTTTCATGGGCACTATTTCTTCAGCTTCCCTCTGTACGGAGTTTATCCCAATTTTGTCTGAAGGTGGAAAAGGTGAAACAACCTGTCGGAGTAGAAATTTCAGGAAAGCATGGAGGAAAATCTAAATAGTTATAAGAAGTAGCAAGCCATCAATATATGAAGGCCTGCAAGGCATTGCAATAACCTAGACAGAAACAATGATAAAAAGAACAGCAATCACAACCAGTATAACACGGCTAACATTTTGAATCTCTAGGCGTTGCATAATACGGCTAACGTTTTAAATCTCTACCAGCAAAAACATAACTCAGATGCAGGTGTAACCTAAACAGCTGTAGGAACTTACAGCAATCACAACCGGTATGCAAGTAATTTTTGATTCACCATTGTATGAGACTAATTGAGCTGAAATAAAACAACGAGGGATTAGAACAAGATAGTTGATAATAAGAAAAGACAAATATATTTGATCCTGGTGAATCACAACTGTTGTGATATAATGGCCAATTATAGAAATGCTAAAAATCAAAATCATATTCTTAGAATGTTAGTAATACATGCAACGTGACAACATGTTACCTAGAGCCAAATTAAGACCTAATACCATCGTAGAATATTCTAAAACATCACATAGAAAGCATAAATTCAGCGGGAATGCTATGATACACACTATCTTCAATTTGAAGAATGCAATCAAGGTTCAGTTGTTACTTACGTTCTGTAGAACCAAAAAGGTAGACCTGTTTTTCATATAACTTTCCGCCTTCTTCAAAAGCTTCCTGTTAATAAGTACATACAAAAATTCCATTTTGTTCCCTTCTCTATAAAGTTTCAATTCAGTAATCTAGAATTGATTAAACCAGTTTGAAGAGAACGCCTGAACATGACAAAAAAATATTATTGAACATTAACCAACTAACCTCTAGGTTTGAGAAATCCCATTTATACTGATATACCGCATCCAGCTGATCCCACTGCAAAAGGGAGAAAACAAAGAATCCAAGTTAATGAGTGATTCGTGAAGGACCAATGTGATTCAATCTAATCTCTACAATCTAAATAAAGATGAGAAATTTAGCGGAAACAAACCTCAGTGCCAACAGGGAAAACCTGTTGCCATAGATCTTCCTGCAAACAAAGAAAACAAAATGTAAGCAAACTTAAATTCTTCAACCCTCGAGCAAATTTGCTCACACTACAGAACTGAAGTGTAGTCAGACGATGACTTTCCCAGACTACCAAATTGTAGCAAAACATTGGAAACAGTTGATTGCCAGTTTTTTTAAAATGTCCCACGATGAACTAGAAGTTACACATAGAGCATTACCTACTTTTAGTTTGAGACGCTCAGATAAGAACTTCAGTAGACGTTCTATAAAGCTCTATATTTTGCCCTAAGGAATTCAGATCAGGAGATGTATGAATATGCATGACTGAATCAATAGTTCAGCCTCTTTCCTCTATAAACTAAATTATGAGTCATACTGTATCTAGCAACATCTTCTCCACTCCCTTCTTAAGAGCACAGTAAAGCATCACAGTCCCTCTGTCCAAAAATAAATTTGCCACTATGCTTTTTGTTTGTCTAAAAAAGAACTTCTCATTACTTTTAAGGAAAGCATTGAGTAGTCTACATTATTTCTCTCTTCTCCCCATAAATTTCAATCACACAATTTCAATTTTTCAAAACATATTAGAAGTTTAATTTGGGGCAGAGGGAGTAAATCTGAAATAATGTTTTTAAAACTACAATTGCAAGCATGCTCGCACAAAGCTCTTACACCTGTGTGTACAAAAATAGCTAAAAGTCATCACCAAAGTAGCAGATCTATATTACAAGTTCAAATTCACAGAAACTGCCAAATACAATACAGAGTACAAAATAAGCCTAAACTACCCCCAAAATTGGATGAAACCAAGTAGAGAAAGACAATACTCCATATAATATGTGTGTACCAAATTACGCTTCTCTGGGAAGTATTCCGTTTCACTATCCGTCTTGGAAGTCCTAGCTCGTTTAGCTCGAGGCTTAATAGGTTTTAGGCTAGGCTCGCCTTCAGACTTGGTCGGCTCTTCCTTGGAAGACAATACTCCAGCAACTTGACTTTGCTTCTCCGTCCCCATGCTTGGCTGTGTCTCGTTTTCGTTTTTTACAGAGGTTATTCTCTCCGTGGTCTTATCCTTATCCTCGTCAAGAACTTTGCCCTTCTGGCTCGCCTTTCTCTTCGCTCCTCTCCTCATCTTCGATAGACAGAGAGAGAGAGAGAGAGAGAGGAGTGCGCCGCTGTATATAAACTAGATTATGGAGATGGAGGGGGGAATAGGGCGTGCCGGCGTGGAGTTGGGTGGGAACTGCAAATTTGAAAAGCTAAGCGAGGCCGGCGGATATATATATCTGTAACCCGATCCGCGTCATTTACAAGCACGGCATGACATAAATTTCTGGAACGCGATCCGCGTCATTTAGAGTTTGCACAGGTAATGGCAAGTCGGATCCATCCGATCCGATCCGAAAATTCGGATATCCGAAAATTTCGAATCATGTAAAACTCATTTCATATCCGATCTGAAAATATTCGGATATCCGAAATTCGGATATCCAATTTTTCGAATCGGATCACTGGATTATCCGAAAAGTTGAGTTTCTAGTCAAAATTTACAAAAAAAAAAGTAAAATAGCAAAATCAACCCGAAATATCAAATTCAATATAGATTTACTAAAAAAAAATTCACCACTAAGTAATGGCCTAATAAAAAATGATACCAAATTCAATTTGGGAGTAACTTTGATAATTTTGTCTAAACAAACAAAAAAACATTATTAAAACAAACGATTCTAAAATGCTAATGCAAAAAGTCCAAAATGGTTGAGTTCTAAAATCAACATAAAATTACATTTAAACATATAGTCATAATATATATCCATAAAATTCCAAAAATATATAGCAAAAAAAAAAAAATCGGATATCCGGTTATCTGAAAAATTCCAAAAATTGAATCCATATCCGATCCGATTTTTTTCGGGTATCCGATCCGAAATACTCCGTATCTGAAAGATAAAATATCGGATCGGATATCTATTTTTCGGATCGGATCGGCCCGGATCGTGGACGGATATTTCGGATCAGATATTTTTGAACACCCCTAATGGCAAGTAACGAAATAGAATGTCACACGTGGCACATTTTAATTAATAAAAAATAATTGAGTTAGCGTGTGGCAAGTGAGTGGAGAGGCATCTCGTGTAGTGGCAAGTCATTGTTTTTGTCAATTTTTTGTTTTTTAATGCATTTTAATTATTAAATATTATTTCATTTGTCTTTTTTAATATAGATGTACTCTTTTTTTAAATTTATTTCTTCTAAAAAAAATAAAAAAAATTAAAGATGCCTTGCCCCTCACACGCTTGGCGTGGAGGGAGGCTGAAGATACGCGAGGCAAATTGGTGAGGAAGCTGATGTGGCGCAACGAGCGAGGCCAATGCCTCGCTCCTGCGCTCTAACTAAAGTGGCTAGTGGTGTTCAATCAAATAGGATCGATGCAATCCGATTCGAAAATTTCGGATCATGTAAAACTCATTCTATATCCAATTGGAAAATATTTCGATATCTCAGTGGATTATCCGAAAGTTGAGTTTTTAGCCAAAATTTACAAAAAAAAGGTAAATAAGCAAAATTATCCCAAAGCTTGCCTTTGTGTTTTCCTAAACAATTTTAATACTCCGGGTAAACAAACAGGTATAAGCATCGGTTGTACAAAACAAACGATCATGCCTTAGTTGTTTTTAAAAATTTCGAAAATATAAAATTCCTTTTGGCATCGGTTCTAGTAAAACACCGATGTGTTTGTTTATTTTTTAAAAAAATTTGAAAAAATATAAAATATGTATTAGCATCGGTTGTTATTAATAACCGATGCTATTGGTTTATTGCATCGGTTATTTCAAAATAACCAATGCTAATACATATTTTGATTTTTTAAATTATATTTGATAAATATCAATTGCATCGCTTTTACAAAATAACCGATGCCTTTGCTCTTTTGCATCGGCTATTTATATAAGCGATGCAATTGGGGCAGTGCTTTTGCCATTTTTTGTAGTAGTGATTTTACCTAAACAAACAAAAAAACACTATTAAAACAAAAGATTCTAAAATGTTAATGTCAAAAGTCCAAAATGGTTTTGTTCCAAAATCAACATAAAATTACATTTAAACATATAGTCATAATATATATCCATAAAATTCCAAAAACATATAGCAAAAAAATGGGATATCCGATTATTTGAAAAAAATTCAGAAATTGAATCTATATCCGATCCGATTTTTCTCAGGTATCCGATCCAAAATATCCGAAAGCTAAAATATCCATTTTTTGGATCGGATCGACCCGGATCATGGATGGATATTTCGAATTAGATATTTTTGAACACCCCTAAAAGTGACATAGGGGTCAATCGGATCGATTTTGAATTGGACTTTTTTTGGTTTGGATATCTTTCAGATATATGTTATAAATGGTTCGATTTGCTTTTATCGATATTACTTCGGTTCGGGTTTGTTTCGATTCTATACATTTTTCGATTTTGATTCGGTTTCGATTAATTTAGCTCAATGTAATTCAACTCAATAATTAGAAGTACAAAATTACCAAAGGTAGAAAATTATTAGAGTTGAATTAATTAAGTTAAATGATTAGAGTTGAATTATATTGTTTACTTCCAAAGGCAACTTAATTAATTTAGCTCATGAGGGGCGCTATGCAGCATGTGTAATCGGAGAGGGGGAGTGCTGTATTTATATGACTGGAAGCGAAGCGTCCAACCCCAGCCGTCCAGATCCAAAGCGTCCAAAGTTGGACGCCTTACACGGCCCGTCCATTCGCTGCTTGCCACGTGTCTTTCGTGGTGCCCAATCATCGCCAAGCGTCCAAAGTTGGACGCTTCGGGCCTTCTTCTGTGGGCTTTTTCCGCGGCTTGATCCAATTCAGGCCCAGTTTCAGTTTTCACTTTGCTTCGCAGTTTGTTTCGGCTCCCTCCGTTATTTCCATGATAAAATTCTCAGTTAAAAACTTCTTTTTCTCTCAAATATAAGTAGAAAAATCAACAATCAAGACTGGATAAATTTTAAACCAATTATTATTCCTTAAAGAACAAATCAAAGATATTGTTCAGTTTAACATAAAATCATGTATCGCTTATCACTATTTTCGTGCAATAACGCTTAAAATATGTAGAATAAAATAGGAACAAAATGAACTTATCAATACAATTGAAACACCATAATGAGCCTAGTCTTATTTTATTACAGCCAACGAGATTCCACTCTTGTTTTCCCCTTATCAAGCAATGAAGTCCTGATTTTTTCCAAAGTTGGTGGCTTATAACCTCTAGGAGCTTCGTTTATGGATTTCACTGCATCTAACCAAAAGGGAGATCTTGCTACATTGAATGGGATTGCAAGAGTGATGTATAATCTTGGAACTCTTTGTTAGAATAAGTGTCTTTCACTAGAGGGGAGGATGAATAGTGAGGCATGAGAGTGTTTGTAATTTTTGTGGAGCATAGTTACATGTTTGAGATATAATGAATGCCATTTGAAATATTAGTGGACGTATATTATGTCTTGGGCATGTAGTAAAATTTAAGCAAGCATGTGAATGGTGTAGATTGAATTTATTCCTTCCTTTACAAAAGTATAATATCTATGGGCCCACTAATTATTGTGACTTGAGAAGTGTATGGTCATACCTAGATAAATTAATATACATGATATTAATGTTATCAGAATCCCACAAGCCAATCAAGATAATCAGTAAACCTTTGATTTAACTTTAACATTGTGACACATGATAATTGTAGTTTTTTGAGTAGTAAACCTCCTCAGTAAAGGGTTAGTCTTCTCTCCGAGTGTCGTGTCTCTCGAGGAGTGGACGAATGGAATTAGTTAATTTCTCTAATTAGGCGAAGGTTAGGATTGATTTATGAAAGTCTTCTCGGAACGATTATAAAAGGAGCAGAGTAAAAGTAATAAATTAAGTTTACATAGTATAAGTGTAGATCTGGACCTAGGGTCAGGACATCATTTGGATCTACTTTATCATATTTAATTAATAATTGGAATAATAATATTTCTATTATTACTCATCTATTTCTAGATTTGTACTTAATCCTTTGCACTTGAATATCATAGCCTTCGGCATACAATATTTTCTCAATAAATAGATGTTATATATTATGGAGTACTGTTTACTTAATGTTAGAAGCATGACAATAGGATATAAATTACTCGGAGTATTTAGAGCATACAATGGCAAGGCAATGCCTTGCCTTGCCTTGCCTAGCCATGTCAACAAATGCCACACAAATCATGGCATTTCATGGTCATTCTACCCCACTTTTCATTCCATGTGCAAGACATGACTCCCTCATTTTTTATTTTTTTTATATTTTTTATATTTTTAATTTTTGAAAAAATATTTTTTTTAAAGAAGTAGACATATTTTAATAGTAAAATAAATGTGTAAAATAATTTTAGATAATTAAAAATCATTAAGAAGTACAAACATAGACAAAAACAATGACTTACCATTGTATGTTACGACACTCCACTCATTTACTCATTTTTAGAAAAAAATATATGAGTGAGATTAATTATCTTTATTTTCTAATAAACATAACTTTAACTTTTTAATGCTTTATCCGTTGCATTTAAAAATCTATAGTAAAGTTTATGTTTATGGAGTGTTTCAATTTTCTTAAGTACTTCAAAAATTGTGTACCTCCTTTCGTATTAAACTATTAATCAACATAACTATTTTTTATTTGTCTATTCTCTTCTATATCAAAAAAACTTATAAACTTTACACTTTACTTATTTATAGAAAAAAATATGTAGTTGATATTATTCCTATTTTCTTAAAATAAATTCTTATTATACAAAATTCACTTTTTAATGATTCATCCATCTCATTTACAATTTTATAGTAAATTTTGATCGTCAATTTTAAAAAAAATTTATTACATGTTAATACCATAAAGTTATACAATCTCACATTTTTAAGTATATGATCGACCCCATGGTAAAAAATCCTGGGTCCGCCCCTGGCAACTTGTTTTACCAAGTATACAACTTGGGCCTTGAGGGCAACATTAGAGGCTAGGAATTCTTCATTGGAGAGGTTGTTGAAAGGGTTTGACATGATGAAAGTGAGAGGGGAAAAGGAGGAGAAAAGGGCAGTAGGTTTGGCCGAACAAGGAAGAAAAAGAAGAGAAAGGGAAGTGTGTTATGTGGCCTCAAAGGGATGATCAACAACTAGGCTTTGATACCAAATGTTAGGCTCAAGCTCAAGGTAAAAGGGGATATTGCATTGGCCGAATGATGGTGAGGAAAGAGGATGATACTTTGGAGTTTATTTGGTTATGAAGATGTAAGGAAGAGGGTGTTTTTAGGAGGTGTGGTTGGGACGAAGATTGGCAGCAAGGAAAGGGTGCTTGAGGCTAGTTTTTGAGTGAGGAAAGAAAGGGAGAAGGTGATATTTAGAGTAGGGAAATGGGGGAGGAGGTCGAATGAAGACAAAGAGGAGACGAAGAGTTCTTTTGATGTTTTTTTTTCTGGGATAAACCAAGTGATTTAAGAAATATTACACACTCTTATCCTTACTTGGGGTTGAGTCTCGCATTCAAATAAGATATTACACACTCATTTAAATAACTAGAACCTAAAACTCACACTCAATGAAAAATAAATACACAAACAGGGGGAGTTACTAAGCAGCTCCTTCACGCAATTTCGAAGGAATAACAACCATTTACTATTGTCCTTTTGGTTGGGATAATTCAGAGAAGGGGCTAAGTTTGTTGGGGTGGAGTTTCGGCCTTTAGTGCATGGAAATGTTGTGTGAATAATACTCATACATTGATTAGTTTTTTGGGTGATGTATTTTTGGCCAGGTGGGGACAATAGAGAGAGAAGCTTGGCTTTTCTTTTGGATTAACCCCTTGGGTGATATGTAGGGAACAAAAGGGAGTTGATTAGGTTAGTGGTGGGTCAGGGCTGTGTGGCCTTGTTGGGGAACATGAGGGGGGTACATGGGAAGGTCTATTATATGGCATAAGAGAGGAGTTTTTTGCTGGTAATGTGATAGGTTTATTGTGTGAAATAAGGGAGGGGTTTTGGCTTGGTGTTTTCGGCTCTCATATGGGGGAGTGAAGTGAGTTGTTTGGTTGTGGTTTTGTAAGGGATTTCGCCCAGGAGTATTAATTTAATGGAGGGGTAATGTAGGGTTCATGGTGTGTAGTGGTGGATGGCCAAAGGAAAGAAAAAAAGGAGCTAGGTTGTTCTTTGGATTTTTGGGATTTTTTTTGGTAGTTTTGGATTTTGGGGTTTGATTTGGTGAACAGGAGGTTCGGCCTTTTGTTGTGTAGTAGTCCAAGAAGATTAAGGATATGTTTGGAGATTGTGTGATGATTTCATTCCAAAAGGGATCATAATATCTAAATTATTACTTTGTTGATTTGTTTAAGGACTTTAGGATTGGGGGTCGTAACCGGGGATATATCAAGTCCGAATACATTCAATTTGGTTCAATTTATAACGGTATTCACGTTTAAATCGACTATTCAATTTTTGGATCATTTCGGATTTGGTTCCTAATTACTCCGGAGTATTTGTTTGAGGAATAATAATAATAATAGGAGAGGGGAGCAAAGAGCGGAGAGAGGTTTGCTCGCTGTATTGACGGCCACATTTACGTCTGAGCGCACTCTCATTCATTCCTTCCCGGCTTCAACGATACTCTTCGCGTATAACTTTCATCCAGACCGGTATAGTGGCAAATATCTTTTTGAATTTCACCCAGTATTTTTTTCATAAAGATTGAAATTGATGGCGAAGAAATCAGTTTGCAGATGAAACAGCAGGCAGATCGTGGTGTTTGATTTGGATTCGGATACGGGGATGTCGTGCTCATCGTCATCTTCTGCTTCGGAGGAGGATGAGGCAATGGATTCGTACAGGAAGGGGGGATACCACGCGGTGCGTGTAGGCGATTCTTTCTCCAGTGGTCGGTACATCGCGCAGCGGAAACTCGGCTGGGGAGAGTTCTCCACTGTCTGGCTGGCCTATGATACTAAAACATCAGTACGCGGATTTCCTCTCTTTGTGATATACTACGTATATATTTACGTATATAGATCAGCTCTTATTGACCCCTTATTTGCTTTTTCGGAGGCATCCTTAATCTTATCCTTCTAGGTGTTAGTTTTGCACAGGCTCTCTCTTCCCTTTGAAGAATAATAATTTCCTTCTTTTTTATAGTGCATATCATTTCAAAATTGAACATTTCAATCCCACAATTTTTATTTCAAAATAGATTCCATTGTTACCTAAACAATTCTAATTTTGAAGATTCTTATAGAGAGAAATTCCACCGTAGTGCCTCTAGATTCCATGCCCAGAACTGAGACCTAATAACATAACCACAAACCTACACTCTAGAAATATTCAAGGCTTACCTAAAATGCTCACTGGAGAAATATAAAAAAGGCTTACCGAAATGTGTGAGACACTCATTTCCTTTAAAAAATGCTCATTTCTAGATGTTGGATTTACAATCATAACAGTACATCTGCATGTAATATATACCCACTACATTTTTTCTTTAGCCTAACGATGATTATTCAATTGGATCAGACCTTAAATGCAATTGACCAGTTTAATGAGGAATTTCCAATCAGGGTGTTTTATTGGTTATTTCTATTTTATGTGGGAGGACTATATTTGAATCCGGTTATCCTTCAACTAACTACGATGTAGTAGTATACACTAGCCTTGAGTGAGTTAATCTCTAACTAGTATAGTGGAGGCCCGGGTCTGTAAAGCTAATAACCTCTTGAACCAATTCTATATCTGAATCATAAACACGTGTCATGGCATACATGCCTGTCACAGGGTGCTCCGTTTTGGCTGGAACCCCTCCAATGGAAAGAGCTTACCTATTTCTGCACAGCATTGCTTCCTTGCGTAAGAAAAGTAATATGAAGAGTGGGAAAATGAAAGGGAGAAGGATTGAAAGAGAGAGAGAAATATGAAAAGAAGCAATGAGAAGAGACCATGTGAGAGCCTTTGATTAGAGCTCCAGAACACCTTCATTGATTCTATAAAACTTCTCTTACAAGGAAAAGACAAAGCTTAAATTTTGTCTTACAAAGTGCTTCCTGCATATCCCAAAACGATGTATCCAGTTTAACAGGGGATGGTTTCTAATAAAATAATAACTGTGTGGTTGAGAGTTGTTATGTAGAGGAGAAAGAAATACCAAGAATCATGTAACACTTTCCAAATATATACATATGCATATCTTTTTTAGACGAGCTAAAAAAAGACATGCACATCTTCTTTGGAGTTGAGATGGGGAGGATCACTAAACCTATTTGGAAACAACTTATGTTTTCTTTTCCTGTTTCTGCTTGGACTGTGCCCTTCTGCTCATACACTACGCACACGGACACATCATTACATCACCCCACCACCACACCAAGCTTGTCCTCAAACTTGAGAGATGGAACATGCACATTGGAATTGGTCAAAAGCTCCAAAGAGGCCTATTCAGCTGGGGTCAGCCTTACTGCCTTACCCTTTGGAAGAGAATTTCAATGGTAATCGACCCGGTATCTCCATCCATTTGGCACCCAATTGCCCAATGCTACTTCAAAACCGGCCAGAGGAATGATATGCAAACAAGTGGTTTACATATATATGCCCTTGTCTATTATGGCATTATCGCAAATGCTGACATGCCTGTGCTTCTCATCTGTTTCTTGTTGGACATTGCCACCTGCAAACCCGGAGAAAAATCACCACTAAGACCCAAAGGATGTGCCGTGGTTTCAGGTATGAAATGATGAAATAATGTATGCTCCCAGGAGAGGCACTTAATTAATGAGCCAGTCGAAGCCCCAACGAAGGCTTCCAGAGCAGACGTTGCAAGAGTTGACATTGAAACCCCTAGCTGGGACCAATAGCAGAAAAGTAATTATGTTCACAGAAACCTGCCTAGGGCCACACAGTTGGACATTCGAGCCAAGGACATAGACACATAGTGAGAGAGAGCCGGCATTTGTTCATGCGTGACATTCAAATAGTTATGTTCATCCAAGACCGTGGTGTAAAGGGTGGCCTTGTACAGTTGTACCGCTGCAGAAAGCCCATGATTTACTGATAAGAACTTTTAAAACTCCCTCTCACGTTCCTCTAATTTGTGGCCATGATGTTTCTGGTAAGCCAGCTTTGGACAGAGGGCCAAAACACAACAATTATCTTCCAGTCGTGGCCTGCGAGCTTGGCACACTATGGATGAACACAAAATTATGGAGGGTGGCAGTAGACGACCCCCAAACACCAGTGCATGTTGGTTGGAAAAGTAGGTTTAAGGATGGTGATTCTAATTCAGGGGATCCTCTGTACTTCCATACCGCGTAAAATCAAATTTGAAATACCTAGGAGAATCAGGAGGCGCATGTTATTCATTGCCGGAAGGGTTGCGCTGTATAAAGGGTTAGTGGTTGTTGGTCACTGACAGTGACAGGAATGATAGGTTGAGATGTGTGCCTGAAGCAGCCAACTTTTCCACTTTCTCATACAAGGCCTTCAAGGATTCCATGATTGTTATGAAAGCTTCAATGTGCTGGACTGAATATTGGAAAGCCTAGAGATAAGCTTGGAAACTTTTCAAAATGATTGCCGGCAACAGAATCAAGTATTAGGCTCCTGAGGCGTAACTACATGTCACATGGCCATCTATTCTGCTTGAAACCTCCTTCAAGGGAGAGATTTTTTCTATGGTGTTTGGCATTCTTTTGTAGCGCTGCCTCCCTGCATAAGAACACTTGGATGAATCGGAGAGAAAAAAGATATAACAAGAGTGAGTTCAGAAGACTTTTTTTAATTAGAACTCCGAAATTACCTTTATTAATTCTCCAGAGCTCCTCTTACAAGGAAAAGGCAGCGTAAATAGAGTCTTACAAAGAACCAAGAAACCTATTCACAAACGACTCCATTCACATAAAAGTAGTTTTAATGAAAATAAACAAATATTTTCCAAAAAAAGAAAGGGATTAATTCTTATATCATATTGTGCCTTTCCTTGTTCTGCATGGGCTGCGCCCGTGTGTTGAGATGAGGAAGTGTGTATAGACAAGAACAAGTCGAATACATTGTATTACTTGATGCTTTACATGTATACCAATAAGAGGGGCACACTAATTACCTCAATTCTACTTATATAACCTAGTCAGCTGTGAATTTAGATGCACAGAAGAAGTCATATTCCTTACACGTGACTGTAAGTGTGCACATCAAACATGTTCCTGGGTCGTTTTCTTCCTTATCTATATCAGCTTTTTAGCAATATAACGTGGTTCTTTGCAGTTTGCATTATTACCTTTCACTAGAACAATACCATTGTCTTTCATCTAATTAATCTAGCTGTGTAATTTCTAGTGTTATTTTTAATTGAAATGGCATCTTGAATTGAATTCATTTGTAGAATCACTAGAATGTGATTTACTGTTTTCTCATGCCTCATATACTAAAGAAGGAAAAACATGCAATCAATATTGACAACTCCTTTTTGCATCTGGTCTTTACCTTTTTCTCTTTGATTGTATATGCACTAGACATATGTAGCTTTGAAGATTCAAAAGAGTGCACCACAATTTGCTCAAGCTGCTCTACATGAAATTGAAGTCCTCTCTGTTATTGCTAATGGTGACCCCTCAAACAGTCATTGTGTGATACGGCTGATTGACCATTTTAAGCACACTGGCCCAAATGGACAGCATCTCTGCATGGTTCTTGAATATCTTGGTGATAGCTTGTTGCGACTGATAAGATCTAACCATCATAAAGGCCTTGAGTTAAACAAAGTTAGAGATATATGCAGGTGCATTTTGACTGGTCTAGATTATTTGCACAGAGTACTTGGAATTATACATACCGACCTAAAACTTGAAAATATTTTGCTCTGCTCCACCATTAATCCCACCAAAGATCCAATTAAATCTGGGCAGTCCCCTATTCTTGAAAGGCCTGACGGATTCCAAAATGGGGGAGCGACCATGAATCTCATTGAGAAAAAGCTAAAACAAAGGGCAAGGAGTGCTGCAGCCCGGCTATCTGGAAGACAATCTTCCATGGTCGAGGGAACAGATACAAAGCCCACAAGATCTCTTGATGGAATTGACTTATATTGTAAGGTTGTGGATTTTGGAAATGCTTGTTGGGATGGTAAGCAATTTGCAGAAGAAATTCAAACAAGACAATACAGAGCTCCTGAAGTAATATTGCAATCTGGGTATTCTTTTTCGGTTGATATGTGGTCATTTGCTTGTATTGCGTTTGAGCTTGCTACTGGTGAAATGATGTTCACGCCAAAGGGCGGACAAGGTTTCAGCGAGGATGAGGTATGTCATTTTTTCCCTGTTGTTCCTTGATTGTGTTGGTAGGGCCCGTACTCTCGTCAGTTTGGATGTAGGGTTTGGAGGGGAGGTGTCTATATGCTGATATATATTTCAGCTTACATTAAAATGGAAGGAATTACGTAAAACTCGTTCGCCCTACTGCCCTAGTGTCTAATTCATTTTTCAGTCAACTGGACAAATTTTGATCATCAATTCATAGATGTTAGATGATTATACTACCTCCGTCCGAGAGTATTGTCCACTTTCATTTTTACACACCATCCAATGCACTTCTTTAATCCATTTTATCTTGTTATTTGTATATTAAAAAATTATAGAAATTATATATAAATAATCTATATATTAAGACAAATCAAACAATATCACACATGACTATATTTAGGCTTACACATTGAGAAAATTTGATGAGTCAAAGTGCTTAGATGAACAGTTCTAAAAGTCAAAACTGGACGTATACTCCGGGACGGAGGGAGTAATTAATTCTATCTCATAGCCAAATCTTGACGGAGAGAGTACAATATAATGTGCTTGCTTCTCTGTTCTTGGTTCAAACATGTTTTCTCGACCCTACTATATTATTCAAGATAAAAAGGAAAATTTGAAAGATTTTTTTTATTACTTCAAGAGCTGTGATTAAACGATTTCAAGCCAAGTTGAACTCTGGTCAGTATCATTTGTTAGGGATTTAGAGGTTCTTTAGATTGTTCATGTACAAAATGAACGAATGCTAGTCGAGTCAAATATTTTGTGCTTATGTTTGTTTGTTGTTCACGAACACATAATTTTAACGAGCTTGTTTGTAAACAATGAACAAGCAAATGGGTGTATGCCTGTAACAAACAATCAAATAAAGAAACAGACATCAATTCTCACACTCCTGAATTTTATCTTGACATGTGTGTAAATCAAAACTAGAATCCCTATGAACTCAATGGTATTTTATGAACTCAAATTAGAAAGTCTAACCGAGCAAGCTCATGAACAAGTGTAGGAAACATTAAGTTATATGTTCATGAGCTATTGTCAATTTGACTTTGTTTTAGCTCTTTTCGTTTGATACTGAGATCTAAAGGAAAGCTTGTTTATTTTAATTTAATTAATCAAATGAACGTGAAGCAACACAAAATAATTTCAAACACGTGGTGCTTCACTGAAATTTCTATTCAGTTATATCCCTTGTCATGTGTTTTGGTCCCAACAGTGATCTGGCATGACAAACAGAATATGCTTTCTATTGTGTTGGTTTGATTATCATGAGTATAACATGATTTAAAGCACATGAATCTGTTATTCGAATTCACTTTAATCTCTAATAAATGTTTTTCAACCTTTGCCTCCCCCCTAAAAAGGTATTATTATCTTCAATGTAGGATCACCTTGCTCTTATGATGGAGGTACTTGGCAAAATACCTCGGAAGGTAGTAGCTTGTAGAAACTATCTGAATTATATTTTTTTCATTTGAAAATTTTCCTGAATACGGTTCCTAAAATTTTCTTGCGATTCATAAAACAGATGGCAACTAGTGGGGTCCGATCTAAAGACTACTTTGACAGACATGGTGATTTAAAGAGGATCCGACGACTTAAGCACTCGCCTCTGGATAAACTATTAGTTGATAAGTATAAACTCTCGAAAGAGGATGGGGTTGAGTTTGCGGAGTTTCTTCGTCCCCTCCTTGCTTTTGAGCCAGAGAAGCGACCAACTGCACAGCAATGCCTGCAGCACACATGGCTCAATGCTAATAAGGGTTTGAATCCGAATGAGATCAGCGGCGAATCTGGCTTTCATAAAGTTAATGTTGGGATGAGCAGCTTTCATGTTAAGGTGGGTAAGTGATAGTAGGGGAATCAATATGACCCCCACTGCATTTGCCCAAGTCTTACCACAGGTTTGTTAGTGCGCATACGATTCATCCTCACTTACCAACACAGCCACATCCTCCCTGTGGATAAAAGTAAGTTGGAGGATTGGGAGAGAGAGCCAATCCCAGTCATATGCCCCCAAACTCTCTTTCTCTCTCTCTCTCTCTCTCTCCACGTGTATGAAATTTTGACCACTTAGATTCAACCGATTTTCCAAAGTTCCACTTCATTCATTACCAGAATGGCCAATCAAATGATCACAGTTAACACTGAACTAGTATAATCTTGAGCCCCCTTCAGGAATATGAGAGGTGCGGGTTAACATTACAATTTACAAGACAACCCCCGTCCCAGATTTCATCCGCGTTCTTGAAGAGATGCTACTCGGATGAATTTTAGGCTCTGTCAATCATATGGGACCTATTTGGAATTGGTTGTTAGCTACTTAGCTCTTTGTATCCGCGTATTGCTGGAGCAATTTAAATTATTGTGTTACCTGATTGGCAAAAAAAATGTTTTGTGAAATTAGTTATTTGCAAATAATTGCTTGTGGATAAATATAAAAAGCGCATTTGTCATTCACTTATTACATCCTTTATGGTCCATTTGGTACACAAAATTGATGGAATTAGAATTAAAATTCTATGGAATTGAATTTGATGGAATTGAATTCTCCAATTCTAATTTATTTTTGGCACCACTGATTCCAAATTCATTTATTTTTGTGGTATCAAACACTAGAATGGGAATTGAAGTTCTCAATTCCAATTCCATGATTTGAATTCCGTGTACCATACAGAGCCTTAGTAAGCTTATCTAATTTTTTCACGGATTCTAATGTTCCACTTTCACCATGGTTATCTATTTTTGTTATAGATGCACGGTTCTTTTATTTGTGGTATATTGGTAGTTGGTACTAAGCGCACGCTACTAAGAAAATATAATTTAATTTCTAACATGTTCATAACTAAGATATTTTTTAGTAGTCCATTCCGAAATAGTCTATGATTGAGACAGAAATAGTAGTGATTATTTGCGAAGGGGATATGGATCTAATATCATTGAAGTCCGAAGATTGAAAAAATAATTTTTTGATATCATGTTTTAATTTTAAGGGTAAATTTTAAAATGGACTTTTCTAAAAGGTGTTTTCTCAAATGGGTCCTCAATAAATAATAATTACCAACATAATCTTTTGTAATTGAGAAGTATTTTCTAAACAGTCTCCTGTCAAAAATGCTTATTAAATGACAGCTAAATTGAGAATATTTTTATATTTTTTTATCATCTAAATTATGAATAAGCCTTCAAAATGGCCGTTTCAAATTAATTGGGTGGCTGCTAGAGGAACGAGCCTACTCTAGTAGGCTCAAGTAGGCTCAGGGACTCTATTTTGGAAAAATAATTACTTAGAAATTATCAGTTTTGAAAAATATATAATTAAGGAGTATTTTGAGAATATATATTTTAAATCTAGATGATAGAAAATACTAAAGTACATTCTATTTCCCTGTCATTTAATAAACATTTTTCGTAGAGCACTATTTAGGAATGCATCTCAATTATAAAGGACCATACTGATAATTATTACTTATTGAGGACTAATTTGCAAAAATACCTAAAGACTTTTTTGGGAATGAACTCTTTTAAGAATCAAGGATGTTAACACAAAGCTTTAAATATCGGTAAATTCTTTTGTAGACCTAAGGTCCATGCTCATTTTATAGTCTTTGGTGTATTCATAGCATATAAGAAGTAGTGTGCCTTTTACAGAAAAATATCCATATGTTAGCCCATGAAAAATGAGAGAAGGTCCATATTTTAGATGTGGACATTGGAACCATATAAGCATCACTCTTAAATATCAAATGTGTCTTCCACCTAAATGCACATACTAAAAGTATTAGGGGTGAGCATGGTACGATATGATACAGTATTTAGCTCGTACCGATACCGTACCAAATATTTTGATTTGGGATGAGATTTTACTCCGTATCGATCTAGATCCCGAAATATTGGTTCGGTATGGTTCGGGATGGTTCGGTATCGATTTCGGTATAAATTGGGATAAATATACATACCTACTTTACACGTTAAAATTTAACAATGCTCCTTTATTTTTGAAAATTGAAAGTGAGTTTAAATAAAAAAATGAAAAATTTGAAAAAAAAGAATATTTAAATGAAAGAGATGCATGTCAAAACTTAGTTTATATTTCACAAACTAAAAATGAACGATAATAAAGGAGTATTTCAAATCATTGTGAATACATTTATGTTCATAAACAAAAACTAAAATCAAATAAAAGTATAATTTACACATAATAGAACTTGAACCAATTTTTTTTGAAAAAAATTATTATTTAGTGAAGGAATATAAAAATATTACTCCGGGGTATTATTATTTATAATATTTTAGTATATAAGTTCGGTTCGGGATTTTCGTTATGGGACGTCACCTCGTACTGTTCCCAAGTACCGTACCGACCATTCGGTTCGGTACGGTTCGGTTCCTTCTCGGTATTTTTTTTGGTTCTGTTAGGCCCGAAACCGGGGTCTTATCATTTAGATAATTTGAGGGCGGGATTACGGAGGAATTGGTAGCAAACCAAAACAGCCGTTAAACTTCAGGAGGGGCTGATAGTCGACTGACAGTAGGATACAATCGATTGTAGAGACTGTAGGAATCCTGGGGGACGTGATAATCGATTAACAGAAATAGACAATCGATTATTGAAGGCTGCAGGTTTTCTGGGAATGAGTGATAGTCGATTATCTTAAGGGGATAATCGATTATTACTGCCTGCAGATGTTTCCAATGGAACTGATAATCGATTATGGGGAATAATAATCGATTATTTCGCAGTGATTCTGGGCAGGAAGAAAGGCGCTTTTGTGGGGAATGGGTTGGAAATATATGGGGCTGATGAGGGAGTTCTTTTGGGTATTTTAGTAGAAGAAAAGAGTGAGATTAAGAGGAGAAATGGGGGGATATGAAATGGAAGAAAATTCAGGGATGGATAAACTAAGTTGGTGTTTAAGAGATATTACACACTCTTATCCTAACTTGGGGTTTGAATCTAGAATTTAATTAAGATATGACACACTTAATTAAATATCAAGAACCTAAAACTCACACTTAAGATAACCACTCTTAAGATATAGAATTAGGGATTTGGCTAAAATAGCATCACACTATTTTATAAATACTCAAAGAGTAAAAGGAGTTTTTAATAATTCAGAGATGATCATTACAAGGGCCAAATGGCCGAAATATATAAGGAGTGGGGATGAGGGAAAACACACAATATAATGAATGCAAATATAAGGAACCTTCCTACATTCCTTTATCATTCACTACCTTCCAATCTTGAGTTGATAAGGGCTGATTTTGTTTGACTTTGTCTTAGCTTTGGAGCTGGCTTTGTCTGTCCTGTTGTGGAGGCAAAAATCACAAAAAATGAATGAAATCCTTTGATGATTGTGGTGGATATTCTGGCTAAAAAGAGGGGACAAACAAAGATGGGTGATGGATGGTGTATTGGCCTTATATTCTTGGTCATATGAGGTGACTGATTTAGTAAGTGGTGTATCAACAACAACTCAAATGTCCTTTGGCTTTTTGTGGTTGTTTATTCGGCCCTAGTAGGGAACATAAAGGGGACAAGAATGGGGAATATCTTGGTTGATGTTGTGTTGGGATAATGAGGGATATTTGGCCTGGGATTTATAGAAAAGGATAGAAGGTTTTATTTGTTTATTAAAAGGTTTAAAAGAAAAAAAAATAACAACAAACAAAAGGTTGTGGTTTACACACTCTTATTTTTGGCCAGGGCCTAAAATAGGAGTAGGAAAACTTTATTTTGAAAAGGAAATATTTTGGATGTTTAGGGAAGGTATGGAGAGTGTGGGCTCAGTCTAGGGTGGGTGTAGGACAACCATGGTGTTGGGTTGGGTTCTAAGACAGGAAAATGGAGAAGTTTCAACCCAATTAATGTTTAGGGAAGGCATGCTCCCGGATATATATCAGCTTCGGTATTTTTTGGTTCGGTATTCTCGATTTTTTCGGGAAATTTCGGTATCAGTTCGGTACTTGCTCACCCCTAAAAAGTATGCACATTTAGTGCTCGGGCCGGGCAAGGTCCACATTTAGTATATGTGTTATTTTAGTATGCACATTTAGGCCCATATTTTAAATGTGGATCTTGGAACCATATAAGCATCACTCTTATATATGGTATTTTAGTATGCATATTTGTGGCATGCAATTGACAGGATGCGGGGGAATGTTCAGGCCGGGCCATGGGTGGGGGGTTTACCGGNTGGAAACCATCAATTTTTCGAACGGAGGATCATATGAATCCCGAGTCATCTGTTGTATCTTAGCTTTGAGTGTTTTGAGGGACAAAGTGGTTTTAAAATTGTAGGAGGGGTGATAGTCGATTATCTAGAAGAGATAATTGATTATTGAAGGGCTCAGCTTCTTGAGGGATTTTGGCAGAGATTTTCAGAAAGGGGTAATAGTCGATTTACAAGGGTATGTAAATTGATTATTGATGGCTGCGGATGTTTCACGTGAGATGATAATCGATTTTACCAAGTTGATAGTCGATTATAGGACAGTTTCAAGGAACAAAAATGAGGTGTTTTGTTTAAGGGAGATAGACCAAGTTGGTTTTAAGAGATATAACACATTTTTATCCTTTCTTGGGGTTTAAATCTAGATTTCAATTAAGATATAACACACTTAATGAAATTCTAGAACCTAACACTCACACCTAAGGAAACCAACCTTAAGATATAGAAATTAGGAATTTTAAAACAACACAACAAGTTGTATTATCTTAAAAATGAGATTACAAAAGATGGGTTACAAATGAGGCCCTTGGCCGATATTAATATAAGCTCAAAAGAGGGAAAGAAACTAAGCAACTTCCTAAAACAAATATCTAGAATATTATTCAAATAATCAAATCACCTCATGGAATGAAAATCAAATGTGATAGGTTTTAGGGCTTGATGTTTTCGGCCCTATTGGAAGACAAAAGGGAATGTGAGAAAATTATGATTAGGATGAATGAAATAAAAGGGATTTGGATGAGATGGGTTCGTCCATATTATGGGGCAAAGGAAAGGTTTGATGTGAGAATGATTTGGTTGATTGTGTAGGGGAAATATATGGTGGGTAAGCTCTCAAACCACAACATATGTCCATTATTGGCCTATTTTTGATGTAAATTCGGCCTAGCTTGGGGGCATGTGGTCCCAAATGTTGGCTTGTCTACAAGCATAAAAAATGGTTGGTTTTTGGGTTCTTGTGTTCGGCCAGGCTTCAAGGAAAGAGGGAAAGGATTAAATAATGAGAGGAAGATATTTTGGATATCTATGAAAATTGAGAATGTGTGGGGTCCATGGTGGTGTAGGGGGTTCGGCCAAACAAGGGAAAGAAAGGGGAAAGGGTTAGGGTTTTGAGGTAAGGTTTTGGAAATGTTGTGATGGGTTTTAAGGGGCTGGGTTTCGGATTTCATGGGCCTAAATATATCAAGGTTAGGTTGTATGGCTTTGGTGTGAGAAATTCATTCCAAAAAGGATTGTGACATTTGGACATTAATCCACTTATTTGTTTACGTTCTTGAGAATTAGTTGAGGTTACTGGTGATACAACATCATCCCATGACATTGAATCTCAATGTCATGGGAATCGAGGTGATATCTTTAATACGAGTATTAACTAATTTTAAAAATCAAAAAACTAAAGTAATACGGAGTATTTACTACATATATGTACAAACAAAGCATAAACTCCCTCAAAGCTTTCATGTTTTGATATTTTTGGTCAAATAGTAATACTCTTTGACTACAAATTGTGATAAAAGTAAATTTCATTATAATATAAATTCAATATAATTGGGTTCATCTTAGAATATAGTTTTAATATATCAAATTTTTATATCATTTTTCTGTTTAAGTTATGTTTAATTTGTAGTTAAAAAGTGTCACAGTTTCACAAAAAAAGTTGAAACAAGAATTTTTTTGGAACGGAGGGAGTATTTTTTTACACCAACTTTTAAATCAATTCTCTAAAAAATTTACTCTGGTAATTTTTACTCTTTAAAAAATGAATATGTTTTTTTCAACTCCTATAAATTAAGTTGTCTAAAAAAATTAAATGGATGAAAATAAATTTATACAGATATTTGTTTAAGTTTATTGTTTAAAAGTGTTTCTAGTAAGTTGGTAAATTGGTGTATGTACACTGCCAGTTGTAGTATGAAAAGTAGAAATCAGTAGAATCATATGTTACGTTGATGTGAATGAGAGAGATATGCAGTAAAAAAAGTATGGAGATATGGGCGTGAAATTGATATGGATTTCGTATCGGATAGGGAAGACTCAGAGCGTCTTCAAGCTCGTGAGAATATGAGACGAGGAAGAAGAAGAAGAATTGAGGCGAAGGAGGGAATCGGCGAACCGAGGGAGGAAGGGAATTAGGGTTTGATTTGTTTATTGCTTGAATATTCTAAATGAGGTTACATCTCTATTTATAGGAGACCAGGAAACCCTAGCTAACCATAAACCTAACCTGACGGTTCAATAAAAGCGACGAGGGAAAGAACCGTAAAGAAACCTCGAAGGAGCTTATAATTCCGCTCACCTAATAAAATCTAAATTACATTAATAATAATAATACTAATATTAAATATCATACTCTACTATCCATAACACTCTCACCCCCTTAGAAAAACACCTTGTCCTCAAGGTGGAGGCTCCCACTCATGCTTCGAGACTGGAGAAAAAATGTTGACCCAAAGATTATGCCCACTTGATGATAGATCTTCATTATGCCTGCAAATTGGAGTATCACGATGGGCATAAGAGAGAAGATCAAATACAAACTTAGCTACCGGTGGTGAAACCCAATACTCGGACTCCACTATATTCGCATGGGCAGAGGACTGGATGATATCAAATGACAGTGGGATAGCCGCTTGTGTATAATTTACATCTGCTACTTGGGCTGCTTTGGATGAAGGCACAAGGCTACTACATGCGATGATGACATTGCTCAATGTTGGATCCTTGGCAACTTCTCTCTTGCTCAGTGCATCAACGTGCGTATCAACAGCGACAAGATCCGATGGAAAGGCATTAACAATACCTTCAACAGAAACACCATCAGCATCAACTGCAGGAACTCTCACTGAATCCCCAATCGTACGCTCCACATCAGTAGATGTAGGATTGTGTAGAGTGGTTGTGGGGACGAGATCAGGTGGAGTAATGGGAATGCCGAGAAGATTCCTTATAGCATTCATCATCCTTATTTTGAAACTTTTTAACTCCAAGGGAATATCACTCAATGCCATGGGAGTACCACGCACCAAATCTTGTATCGAGCAAGAGATTTCCACTTTGAACGCATATAACTCAGAATCAGGATACGGTAGATCTAAAAGATGACGAAATAAGTGGAACGTCTTCAAAATTTCATCCACGTGATCATAAGCTATACAGACACCTTCGTGAAACTCAGCTCTTCCATAAAAGATATTCTTCAACACACCAAGAAGTTTGTTCAAAGCATCGTCCATGGTCACAATAATTTTATCCAAAATCGAGACCATAGTTGTGGCCAGACGGATACCAACAAAGAATGAAAAAGCAATGCATTCAAATCTGGTACCCACTTACTCAGTTCGTCCAAGGCAGAAGTATTAGTAGCACCAAAGTATTGAATTAATACTCCGTAAGTGGGTCAAAGCAAACCCAGACTATTATAACAAGCCCAATTTAATTTCTTAGGGTTCGGCGGAAATTGGGGCCCAAAACTGAGAATGGTAGCGGCACACTAAAAATAACTGGCGGCGAAATAATTTTTTTGGCAACGATGGAGGCAATACAATAACAAAATGTTGAAGTAAAATGATTGAAAACTCCCTTCTTCGATCTTGAGGTTGGAAAAGCTACTGGTTTTGGATTGAATCACACTGCCTTTTCCGTGCTTCTAGCAGTTTTTTTGTTGGATCGGCAACTGGTGACTAGATCGGCAACTGGAACATAGGCAAATTACAACTGTGGAGATTTGTGTTGTCCCGGGTCGGCAACTGGTGGACAAGCAATTTTTTTTTTGGCTTTTTTTGAAGCCTCTCAATGAAAGCACCAATGATACGGATTCCGTATCGGATAGGGAAGACTCAGAGCGTCTTCAAGCTCGTGAGAATATGAGACGAGGAAGAAGAAGAATTGAGGCGAAGGAGGGAATCGGCGAACCAAGGGAGGAAGGGAATTAGGGTTTGATTTGTTTATTGCTTGAATATTCTAAATGAGGTTACATCTCTATTTATAGGAGACCAGGAAACCCTAGCTAACCCTAAACCTAACCTGACGGTTCAATAAAAGCGACGAGGGAAAGAACCGTAAAGAAACCTCGAAGAAGCTTATAATTCCGCTCACCTAATAAAACCTAAATTACATTAATAATAATAATACTAATATTAAATATCATACTCTACTATCCATAACAGAAATGCTCTTGTCATGCCTCTTTTCGTTTCTTTTCGTTTCTTGTAAATGGCGTGAAAGCCTCTTTTCGTTTCTTGCATATCCTCACCTTAAGAACACTCAAATGCCCAACTATGATGCACTAAGAAAAATATGACGGTTGTGCATACCCTCTACCTTAAGAACCCAGGCAATGAGCGTGGAATACCCTTGTCATGCCTGCCCACTCAACAACTTCTCCAATTTGCCTTGCTGAGGTATTCCTCCACGAGTTTGAGGGGAATGAGCGTGGCATTCAACGCCTTTATCTTTTTGATGAAAAAAAGCCTTTCTTTGTAAAAAAAAGAAGTATTTTTTGAAAAAATAAAAAAATTTTTTTATTTATAATTAATAAACATAAAGAAATGTAAAAATTGTTGGAGGATTGGTATAGGTTTATACAACGAAAGAGGTACTTGATAGGCTTACAAATTATGAAAGAATCACTTTAAGACTAAAGTTATTTTTGGCAAATCAAAATACTTTAATCGGATAAGACTTAACCGTTAAAGAACGAGTATGAAGGTTTTCTAAAAGAAGACTATATCACTTGGACTTAGACCTGGCAAAATTTGACCTGACCCATTATTGATTCGAAACCCAACCCGAAATTAGCGAGTTTTGAACATCGATTTCGCGACCCGAACTCAAAATGACCCAAACCCAAAGACCCATTAAATTTTTAGGTCAGATCACGTCTGGTCGGGTTTGACTTGACGGGTTATGCACTTAATTATTTTTTATTAGTTATCTAGTTTTATATATTCATTTAAAATATGATATACCCATTAGGCTACTCAAAATTTAAAAGGTGTAAAACCTAATCTAAATCCAGCGACATTTTAGAATTTCTCCGTCCCTCCCTCTCTCTCTCTCTCTTTCATTCTTCCACTCTTCCACAGTCCATCGATATTAGGTGCCGACTTAATCAAAATAGTGAGCAGACACAAGAACAATAGTGGAATTTCTAATCCTATTTCATCTTCTTCAGTTGCATTTGCGGATAACTCAAGTTTTAATTCTTTTCTTCTAAACTTTTTGGTATATTATAAAATTTTGGTATTGTGTAATTTTGTTAGCATATTGCATTTTTTGTATGTTTCAATTATGTAACGACGGTACATGTTTTGGTACATTCTACAAAAAATATAATGACGGCACCAACTTTAAAATGTAAACAAGAATCAAACTTTTCATCTATTGTAATATTTTGGTATGTTGCAATAATCTAAAAATTTTTTGTGGTATGTTAAACGAATCTAAAAATTTTATCATCTATTGGAATTTATTTTGGATGTTGTAAAAATTTGATTTTTTGGATAAATTGCAATTTTCTTTTGATATGCTGCAAATAGACCAGAAAACTTTTATGATTTCATTCTTTGTTTTGAATGATGCATTGATCACTTGATCTCTAAATAACAAAAATTTTAACTTTTGAATACGCCTCTTAATCCATTGGGTCAATCCAAACCTAAAAACTCTGGGTCATGAACAAGCACTTTTAGACCCGAACCCAAAATGACCCGAACCCAAAATAGCCTGAACCTGATAATAACCCGAACCTAACCTGACTAACCATTTTGCCAGGTCTAATTAGACTTATTCTTGCTTGTTCTACCGAAATAGGCCATAAGAATGGCTGTTTATAGGCAAAAAACTGCTCAAACATGTCTTTTGAACAAAAAAGTTATGTACGTTCAGTACCTATTCGAATAGCTTACTTTCTATTCGAATAAAGGATCGTTTTTGAAGGATCAGACGCATCTCTTCCGTGACCTACTCGAATAGGCGAAGACCTTTTGGAATATGTCAGCATTTCGTGTCATGACGTATTGCAATAGGTAAAGACCTATTTGAATAGGTCCTCACAGTTGACACTGACCTATTTGAAAAGGTGAGCCATCTTATTTCAAATAATAATACTCCCTCCGTCCCAAATTATTTGCAACGTTTGCCTTTTCAGCTTTGCGGAAACTTTTGTTTATTTCTACGTTTTCATTGGTTATTTGATAAAATAAAATATTCTTGACACCTCTTATTTTGAAGTACTTTTCATGTAGTTTTTTTATATGTAAATTTTATTTTTTATTTCTATACCAGTATATAAATAAAATGAATTGAAAAAACTTGATATTTTGTCTCGGGAATACATGTGTGGCAAATATTTAGGGACGGAGGAAGTATATTTGAACGAGCATGTACTCCACACCTCCTAACTTGTTTCAATAGTTATTGTCCGGTCACTAAGTAAATCTAATTATGCAAAATAGCCCGAATGACACAAAAATCACCAACAATCCTCCCTTATTTTAGTGTAGTCCTTGATTTACTTAGATATACTCAAAATAGAATAACAAACTCATTCATAAATAAAATATCGCGTCGATTGAATTTTATCATAGAATATTACACGTTTCAAATACTCGTATATCGGGGTGTGACTAAGGATTGAACCCTTTCTATCTATTCATTTGAATACATCTCCCTGTTTAGAGCACTGGTAATACGTTTGAAGCCCCGGGGCTTCAAACCGGGGCTTCAAACTTTCTCTCTCTGCCACGTCAGCTTTAACTTACACCCAAAATTCACTAGAAATGGTTTTGAAGCCCCGGGGCTTCAAACTGGGGCTTCAAACCTTCATTTTTTACATTTTTAAATATACATCTTCTAAATTTAAATTTATAAATTTAAATTAATTTATTATTTTAATTAATCGCAGTGACACTATTGCATAAAAAAATTAAATTCATTATAAAAAAGATTTTACATTCATAAAAAAAACATAAAAAAATTACATAAAAAAAACAACAGTACAAAGAAATCACTAATTATTCGGACGACTAAAGATATGCTCGATCAAATCCGCCGTTAGTGCATTGTGAATCTCTCGGCTTTGAATTTCTTGGCGGTTGCGTCGCTTCTTTTCTTCGGTGATTTCTTCGTACATAGGCACCTCCTCGTCCGGGTTGTATTCACAAATCGCAGACCCGTTATCCTCTATGATCATATTATGAAGAATAATACATGCGTACATGATATTCCTCATTTTTGTCTGAGAATAACATTTCGACGGACGATCTAGAATGTGCCACTTAGCCTTCAATACCCCAAAGGCTCGTTCAATATCTTTTCTCGCCGCCTCTTGAGCTTTTTTGTAGGTTTGGCGTTTAAGACCCATTGGTTCGGAGAGAGATTTGACAATGGTGGAATAATCCGGATATATTCCATCAGCCAAATAATATCCACGCTTGTAAAGCGTCTCTCTAAGCTCAAAAGAGGAGTCCGGTGCGGTCTCATTAACCCAATCATCAAAAACAGGGGATTGATCGAGAACGTTGATGTCGTTATTCGAGCCCGCGACACCGAAAAAAGCATGCCAAATCCACAAGTCATTCGAAGCAACAGCTTCGAGCATGATGGTAGGCTTGGGATGATCTCCCCGGGAGAATTGACCGTGCCACGCAGTGGGACAATTTTTCCATTCCCAATGCGTGCAATCAATACTCCCAAGCATGCCGACAAAGCCGTGTTTTGCGGCATGCCTCGCCTGCAACTGCTGGACGTCACTCGCTGTAGGCTTGCGTAAATATCTTTTATGATAAATTTGAATAATAGCCTTTGAAAATTTATAAACACAGGACCTGATGCTCCGAGCAGACATCTTTAAGTATTCGTCGAACATATCGGATGCCGTCCCG